TTAAGGTACTATAAAATATATTACATCAACACAGTTACTGCTAAAAGTTCAAAAGAAAAACAAATGTGTTGATGCGATGTATTTTATTCATGTGGAAATTATGAGCACATTTGCGTTAATTATTGTAGCAGTCATATTTCATAAATGCTGTGATTAATATGGGTTGAGCTGACTGGGTGTGCTGAGCTCAGTGCAGATTCATCTCTGACTCGTACGGTCAGTCTACCCTACATGGTTACGATACATGGTCTCACACTCGGCCTGGGCCTGCAGCTCACTGTACAGGACCTGAAGGAAGACTTCTCTCAGACAGGGTTATAAACAATACAGCCCTACAGAAGAAAAGCTGTTGAAACCTGCTCAGTGTTCTGGCTCAACAGATTTAAAACAGAGTGTGCCAACCGCTTCGAGTCAGCGGAGTCATTTCAGGCGTGGCACCATAACTAACATCACTGAAATAATAATGCCTGCAGGACACGTTTTAGAGCGCAGTACAGGAGCAGAACTGGACGGCCAACAACAAAACTTCTTCGCTACGTTTTCATTTTTTTCACATCACTCGAACAAACAACAAGACGTTCTCCACACAAAACTCTCCTTATGAAAGAGAGATATAATAATACTACAGGAACTTCTTCCTCTATAAGAATCATACAGTAATGTGGGACACTTACTATAAACAATACAGGATACTACAGTCGTATGCAAAACTGTGGGCACGCCAGGTCAAATGACATGTTCTATTGAGCTTCTAAGTAGAAAATAAGTGAACACATCCTCTACAGAGAACAAACTTCTATACATTTTAATGCATATTGTAATGTTTATTTACTGAATTTAACATACTGAAAAAAAAATATATATATATTTCCCAATATGTGAAAAAGAAATAAACACCGCACACTAAAAAATGCCACATTTAAGTTTGCTCTCTGCAGAGAACGTGTTAACTTGTCTTAAGAAAATCAACAAAACAAGTAAATTTAAAACTGATTGTATGTCATAAACTGAAGTTTAGCAGCTGTTGTACATGAGTTGATACGGCAACCCGAACGTTAAGAAGAGCCACTTGGTCCTTTAACAAAAATCAAACCACCTTGGGAGCCACAATATTGTATCTCCATTTTACCATCTTGGCTATAAATATGTCTCAGTATGTCCTAATGTCCCAGTTTAGGCTAAAAATATAATATAAACTGAAAACACAGACTTACTTTGCTCTGTTTTAAGCTTTAGCTCATCTATAGCCGCTTTTCTCGCATCTCTGGCAGGAAATTTTTCCTCAAAAATAGATTTTTTTTTGTAAAATGTCTCTCAACGGTGGATTTATTTATGAGACTGAAGTCGCTTCTCATTCTCCAACTTCTTGTTCGAATTTTGCTGTTCCACCTTAAATGGTGCCTGAGGTGCCAGAATGAAATTGCTGCACCATTTGAGGTGGAACGGGAAAATTCAAATAAGAAGCTGACGAATGAGAAGCGACTTCAGCCTCACGACTAATTTTAATGTTTGACAGTTTCTTGTTGCAGATTAAACGTATCAGGAAACCAGCTGGAGTGATTATAAATTCAAATAAGCCCATTCATCTCCAAATTATCGCTGTTTGTCTTAAATCTTTCTCTTTGCTGTTTCGTTAGCCACTAGCTAGGCGAGACAGTTATCTGCATTGCTATGGTGACCAGCAGTCAGCACGCCAATCTTCAGGGTTAAAGGGTGAATTAGCAGTTACAGGCTACAATAACTACAGCTTTTAAGACCATTTATTGTTCAACTGTGTTGAACGATGAACAGAGCTTTATTTTACTGTAAAGGAGGATTATTTTATTTTTACCTAAAAATCTAACTCTGCTGTGGAGCTGCAACAGGGCAGTAAAAGAGCCGCGTGTTGCCGACCCCTGGTTTATACTGTCTGTTCACTTAAAAGAGAAATTCTGGCACGATTTAAAATCCAATGAGATCTTGGGGCTACGCTGGGAAATCCAACCACTCTGGATAGTCTGTGGACAGCGGAGAAGAATGTGTGGAAAGCAAGAAAGTAAATATTCCTCTTAGTTTTTTTAACTGAAAGAGTTTGATGTGCACTTGCTGTATTTCCAAGTGTAGCATTCACTCCTCGACCCAGACAGTTCATATACAGAAACTAAGCTGAAAAAACTGCCTGTGTCAAATTCACTGTTTTGTGATGTGACATAAACCGGCATATGTACATGTATCCTCCTATTCAGCATAAAGCAATTTAGCTCCACCCATTCATACTGAAGTTACAATAAGTGCTTCAGCTTTTTTGAATGAGGTCCAGTAAAGGGGAGCCAATCAGAACAGCTCAGTTACATATATCAGTCTTAAAGGCACAGCAACAAAAACAGCCTGTTTAATTGTAAGGGATTAAGAGAGGTTGGAAAGCAGTCATGGAAACATGACGTGACACTTTTGGTGCAAAAGGGAAAAAAAAACAAAAAAACAAAAAAACACCCAAGTGTTATAAGTGTACCTCACGAGAAGAAATAAAATGAAAGAAGAATACAGTATATGGGCCGTTTACAAACTTTAGGAAAGTATAACAAAGCAGTTCAAGGGTGTTTTCAGGACTAGAGGGGTGACGAAATGCTGATGAACACTGTCAGAAAGGATTTTCTGCAATGATCACTGACACACCAAAAAATTAAGGCAAAACAAATATATCTTAACAGTTTACACTCTTCATACAGCATTTTGTATCTCCTCTAGTTCTGAAGACAACCTCACCCTGCAATGTCAAACTTCCACAAAGTGTTTTAACGGTTTAAGGGGAAATCCACCAATTTTTCAAAATTTACTTAATTAATTCATTAAGATATGACAAAGTCAGAGTGGTTTGATGTGAAATCCTTCCTTACTGAGTCAGAATTGACTTTTATAAGACAGCACTATATACAGTATATATACAGTACTGTCTTATAAAAGTACTATATATACAAAACCCCATTTCCAAAAACATTGGGATGCTGTGCGAAATGTAAATAAAAATAAAATGCAATGATGTGCAAATCATTTAAACCCTATATTTTATTGAAAATAGTACAAAGACAACATATCAAATGTTTAAACTGAGAAATTTCATTGTTTTTTGAAAAATATCTGCCCATTTTGAATTTGATGCCAACAACACATTCCAAAAAAGTTGGGACGGAGGCAACAAAGGACTGGTAAAGTGGCGCAATGCCAAAACACCTGGTGGTTAATTGGCAACAGGTCAGTCACATAATTAGGTATAAAAAGGCATCTCAGAGAGTCTTTCAGAAGTAAAGATGAGGAGGGGTTCACCACTCTGTGAAAGACTGCATGAGCAAATAGTGCAACAATTCAAGAATAACGTTTCTGAACGCAAAATAGCAAAGACGTTTTGCTTTTCATCACCTACGGTACAGAATAACATTAAAAGATTCAGAGAATCTGGAGAAATCTCTGTATGCAATGGACAAGGCCAAAAAATAGTATTTGCTGGCCATGAACTTTGGGCCCTCAGGCAGCACTGCATTAAAAACAGACATGATTCTGTAGTGGAAATCACTGCATCGGCTCAGAAACACTTCTGAAAAACACTGTCTATGAAAACAGTTCATCACTGCATCCACAAATGCAAGTTAAAACTCTAAAACGCAAAGAAGAAACTGTACATGGACTGAGGCGAAGTGGAAAAGTGTCCTGTTGTCCGATGAATCAACATCTGAAATTCTTTTTAGAAATCATGGACACTGTGTCCTCTGGGCTAAAGACCACTGAGCTTGTTATCAGTGCCCAGTTCAAAAGCCAGCATCCTTGATGATATGGGGGTGCATTAGTGCACATGGTATGGGTGACGTGCACATCTGTGAAGGCACCATTAATGCTGAACGATATATATGTTCTGGCAACATCTGCTGCCATCCAGACGACGTCTTTTTCAGGGAAGGATTTGCTTATTTCAGCAAAACAATGTAAAACTACATTCTGCATGTATTACAACAGCGTTGCTTCTTATTAAAAGAATCTGAGTGCTAAACTTGCCTGCCCGGAGTCCAGATCTGTCACTACTGAAATCATTTGGCGCATTATGAAATGAAAAATACGACAAAGGAGATCCCGAACTGACGAGCAGCTGAAATCCTGTATTTAAGTAAGTAAGAACGGGAAAACATTTCACTTTCCAAACTACAGCAGTGTCTCCTCAGTTCCCAAACGCTTACAGAGTATTGGTAAAATAAGAGGTGATGAAACACAGTGGTAAACAGGCCCCCGTCCCAACTTTTTTGGAACATGTTGTTGGCATCAAATTCAATAACAATAAAATTTCTCCATTTCAAAATTTGATATGTTGTCTTCAAGTATTTTCCTTGGTTTACATGATTTGCACATCATTGCATTGCCTTTTTATTTACATTCTGCACAGTGTCCCAACTTTTTTTGGAAATGGGGTTGTACATAGTGCTGTCTTATAGAAGTACTACATGTATATAGTACTGTTTTGTCATTTTATATACATACATATACATACATATATATATATATATATATGACTATAGAAATCTTAGTTTATTGATTTTTAAGAGAGTCTAATATCTATAAACAATCACAAACACACAGTGCTCGTCTCTACACATTCCTCCACATCACTCTCTTCTGTTGTCTAGTCTGTAAATAAGACTGTAAAAACTGTAGAAAACTCCGTGTCAGTTGTGCTGAAACCCTCAACAACCGCACAAACTTTCCCCAACTTCACTCTCGACTCGTGTTGACGAAAATGAGCTTCTTACTCGTCAACTTACATTAGACTTTTCCGTTCCACCTTAAATGGTGCAGCAGTCACTCCGCTGTGCACAGGTACCAGAGCGGAACTGCGGCGCCATTTAAGGTGGAGCGGTAAAGTCGAAGAAGAAGCCAACTTCAGCCTCTTTATTTCTTCTCTCCTTCTCTACTGTGAGACTCTCTCACTCCTCACACCCCTCCGAGAGCCCAGAGCCAGTTTTCCCCACTTTCCTCACCTTCTTTTGCTTTTTTCCTTCTGGCCAGAGTCCCACCAAGTTTCCCGAGGAACGAGTCATCTTTCTTTCTGAAGGACGGCGAGATTGGAGTCGGAGACTTGGGGGAGGAAGGAGACTTCTGTGGGGAAGACGCCATTTTTTAAGGATATACCTTTAAAAAAAACACAAAAACAGGAGGAAGTGAGGATTTCTTCTCTTTTCCTCTCTGAGCGACAGAAAAAATCCCAGGAACGGAAACGGAATTCCTGCTAGTCCCGCCCTGCGCGTGAAGTTGCCGTTAGTTTGGGTTTTTTTTTTCTCCCACCCGTATTCCGACAAACTCCGCCCCCTGCGCTGCGATTGGCTGGTAGGATCCATACCAGACATAACAGTAGTCTCATCACAGCGCTCACTCAGACCTGTTATTTCCAAGTTTGTTGACATCAATAACTTTTCCTCCATCTGCTCGAATAACATTCTTTTGCAGGTCAGCATGAAAAGAGTTTGTTTCAGTCAGGTTCAGTGCTTTACACAGTATGCATGACAGGACTTCCTGTAGGTTTGTACAGCTGGTAGATGTAATAGAGCTAGAAGCTGACCCTGATGCTGTCCACACAGCACTTTAGGATAGAAGTGCAGTCTGTTTTGGTGATTATCAGGCAGTTTCCCACAGATTGATTTAGTCTAGTCTTGGACTAAATATCAACGGCAGCGGTGATTCTTCACTGAAAATGTTCTTTAGTCCAGGCGTAGACCTGTCTGAGTCTGGGAAAGTGGTTCTAAGTTTAGTTTACACATTATTATACACATTATTCTCCAATTCTTACTAAGAAAAGTAATAGATTTTTGAGTTACTATGGAGAGAAACTCGATTAACTGGCCTTTCCTCTTGTATGTGTAGGTGTGTGTATATATGTGCATGTATACATCCTCCTGTAGGTATTAAGTTTTTTATGCAAATTGTTAGTTTATATCTTTACTCTTTTAATGTCATGGTGTGCTTGAATGGTATGATGACATTGCTGAGAATATGCTGGTTTTGTGAGATCTGATAACATATCGCTCTGACGTTGGGTGTACATTTGTAAAATTCTTTGTGTAAAATAAAAAAGAAAGCAAAACAAAGCAAAACAAAAAAACTCCAAGCCATGTAGATCTCTAATCTCTCTACATGGCTGTGTGCTCACTTACACATACTTAACATTTTGATGGGTTTGTGCATTTCAGAGTATCTTGAAATAACGCTTTTACTTCTTCTCAGGGACCTTTGTGAATAAAGGAATCTAGGCCATAAGAAAAAGGGAAACAGAGCCTGACAAATTTCAGTTTCCTGTGCTGATAGACGCTGGATGTATTAAGTTCCACTGCAGTTCTATGGGGAACTCTTTCAAAAACTCCAAAATTATTATCAAAACAAACAGATAATCAAAAATGCTGAACTGATCCTTTAAAGGGGAATTCTGCCGAATTTTAAAAGGTATGTATAATTAAGCTGTTGAGATGTAAACTGGGTCATTCAGAGTGGTCTGAAGTGAAATGGTTCGCTAAAGAGAAACTTAGACTCAGTTTTCTTTACAATGGAACCAGGAGCCGTAATGTCTATGACACAAATATAGACATTTTATAAACCAACAATGAACCTACGTGTGTTCTGAGTTTTTATACGTGATGCTGATGGTAAAATCATGGTAAAATTGTGGTAAAACTAAAAAAAAAAAGTCTTCAGGGACTATTTTTGCCTTAGAACACCCTGCATGCACCTCTCCACCATAAACATATGAACATATAAAAAAATAAATAAGGCCCAAATCTTGTTTTAGAACTACTGTAAAACAATATCTCAGTCATAAGGTAACATTTGGAACCATTTCATGTAACAACGTTTTTGTGAGGGAGCTTTTAGACACATTAAACTCTTCAGCTGTCTGGTTTCTATCACCACCACTGAGAACAATCCTGACTCTAAGTTTTTCTAGAACAGAGCATTTCACACCAGACCACTCTGATGGACTCTGTTTACATCTTAACCATTAAATTAAGCAGATTAAGCGGCAAATTGGTGGATTTCCTCTTTAAGTAGTGTACAGCTAGAGTCTAGCTTCCGAGCTACATTATTCCTAAGAATCCCATCTTTTTAATAAATACATGTAATCAGATTGCATAAATGACTTTATATCCAATTAAAAAGTGTAAACAAGAGAAACAAACTCTGTTAAAACTTTAGAAAGCAATGTTTTATTAAACCATGCAACATTTGGCTGCATTTAAATCATAAATTACATAAAGACAACACAGTCTGAACATTGCTTTAAGAGAGTGAACTGATTCTCTTTTACAGCGATGAGATGAGAAGACAGTCATCATCATTAAAAAAAGAAAAGAAAGTAGAGAAAGACTGAAGACTCACATTAAACTTTGGTTGATAATGTCAGCTTTACAACTGAGCAAACAAACAGGTACAATCATAAAGCTTTACATTCAAAAGAGTCAGTAAAACGGCACATACAGATCAGTCAGTCAAGAACATTCAGAGCATGAACATTACATACAGTGTTATTATTGCACCCGTGTGGAGATCAACTACATTTATTCCCTCAGGCAGTTTTAGTGTTATGCTTTGTGCTCGTACAGTGTTAAGTGTTTTTTTTTTTAGTGTTAAGGTGATTCTACATCGCTCACCACAGCTGAACCCTTCTGTCTGAACATCTTTTAAATAAATATAATCCATAACATATGAATATAGTGTACGGTCTGGAATGAGGCACTTGTTAGTTTTGGTTTAATTCACTATACAGCAGAAGCAGCAGTGAGGCAGTAGTGAGTTTCTTTAGGGTTTTGGTACATTTTGTCCAGTCAGGTCCAGCGACAGCACTCGAATAACATTCTTTTGCAGGTCAGCATAAAAAGAGTTTCAGTCAGGTTCAGTGCTTTACACAATATGCATGACAGGACTTCCTGTAGGTTTGTACAGCTGGTAGATGTAATAGAGCTAGAAGCTGACCCTGATGCTGTCCACACAGCACTTTAGGATAGAAGTGCAGTCTGTTTTGGTGATTTGGTGATTATCAGGGAGTTTCCCACAGATTGATTTAGTCTAGTCTTGGAACTCTGTAAATCATTTTTAATGTTTTTAACACATAAAAATGAAAAACTGAATTGAATCATGACCTCAAAATCCAAAATCGAACTGAAAAATCTCAAAAATATTGTATTGTGAAATTTATCTATGCCTCTAGAATGCATTGTTAATAATTTCAAAAGGTATTTATTTTGTATACATGTGAAAGACACTGTCCAGATAGACTCAGGCAAAAACTGAGTGATACGATTTCTCATTAGGATGAAAGTTAGTTTTGCCAACATTCTACATAGCTTGTCCAACCAGGCAACAGTTTGGCAACAGCCACGCTCTGCCCACAAATGAAAGCACAGCATGGACAGGTCAGTTAGCTGATGAGTTGAATCAGGTGTTTTACAGCAAGTCAGAGACTAAAATGTGCAGGGCAATGTTGGAAACCATCGCCCTCATGAATAAATCCATACAAATAGGTCCAGAGCTGATCCCAGACCAGTACTGATTCTCGGAGCTGCTGTTTGTCCTGCAGCTCCCTCATGCCCAGTGGAACTGGTAGCCCTTGGACAGGATGAGGCCCTCAAGGTCGCGGTCCTCTGCCTTTTCCTGCAGCCGCTGCTCCTCCAGCAGGCTGACGAGTCGATCCCTCTCCTCCACCACCTTCATCACCTCCACCAGCAGGGCCTGCTCCTCTGCCAGCTCCCCTGCACTCTTCTCACAGTCTGCAGGAGAAACAGGGACACAGACACAGCTCTGGACCATGGACAGACTCAGGACAATAAGCAGTGACTATTTCTAATTATTGCAATCATCAACAAATTTCTTCTGTTGATATGCAAAAGCTTTTTATTAGACATTTCAACTGGAAGAGATGAGATGTTTATCATTTCTAACACGTTTTTCAAACCAAAAGAGGTTTTTCTTATTCTTAAAAACAGCAGCATTTTGTGATTGAATTTTTTTATTAAGAAGAAAGCATACAGTACACAACCACTCTCTAGATATTTGTCATTTTTTTACTTTTTTTACATACCTTGTAAACTAGTTACCCTTCACATTGTATACCGTATACTTCTATTATAAGTTAAGAGTGTTTTTTCCTATATATATATATATATATATATATATATATATATATATATATATATATATATATATATATATATATATATATTTATTGTCGTTGTCCAAAGAAAACCGTGTATCTCCATTTTTGGAGATTTTTTATTTTTCTACAGAATTTCATGACACCAGCTCTCCTTTATGGTGTGTGAAAATTTCATGATGATTGAATAAATAGAAATGCCCCAAAATCACTTGGAATAAATCCTCTTTACATTAACTTACATAAAAAGGTAACTGTAGAAAATATATAGTACAAATATTACAATCTATTATATTTTGTGTGCATTTAATAATCACTATTATTATATACTTATAAACTCACAGTAATAATGGAAGCACAAGTATGTGTTAAATATACAGTCATCATGTAATCAGAGTATTTTAAGTTTTTTGTATATACTGAAGAGGAGTTCTATCAATAATATCCTGAACCAGGGTGTGAAATCAGCCTTCACAAATGTCTTGTACAGAGATTACAGCTGGGAACTGACTACCCAAAGGGGTCTAGACTAGAGTTTGCTTCGGTGGGCAGTTACATTTTTTTTAACTATGCGTAGTAAACTCATTAAGTTATGATGAGAATATAAACAGGCTGAGATTGAGTTTTGCATCCATAAGAAATACACGATAAAAAATACTGGACGACTTTGTGAGCCCCCGTTCCCATGTCCTTAATTGGAACGGGGGCTCACAGAGACTTGGGGAATTCTATTGGCATCCTGTTAATTCCTCATTATAGCTGTCAGTGTGTGGGTATTGTGCATCTAAAGGACATTAGGTGCATTCACAGTTCTGCTGTTTATGAGGTGTATGTGAAGCCACAAGCATATTCAGGAGTCCCAGCATAGTAGAAATATCAGGAAATGCTTTTGTGCCCATGAGGGTCTTAGTGTTTGCTGTCTTTCATAAAAGTTGTACTGTGGTTATGTAGCCGATTCACTGTGGGGGAAAACAATGAAAAATTCCAGTCCGTGTCCATGGCAATGAAAACAGCTTTAAAACTGCAGTTATTTACAAACTTAAAGCAGATTAAAGCAGCAAATTTTTCAGTGGCAAACTGTAATTATTAGTGCTAGGCCTTCAGTTCAGGCCATAAATGTTAAAACCCGACCAAAAACAAAGGGGAAAAAAAAACACCTATGGCGATGCTAATTTCTGCTAGTGCCCCTATGGGTTTCTAATAGTATGTTAGCGCTAAGCTAACGGCAATTCACGTGAGCAATTTTTGGCTGTTCTAGATTAAATCCTTTGGAGCTTCTAAAAGACAATCCTTGTTTTATTGGAAGCCTTAACATATATATTTTACCTATGTCTTTTTCAGTGACTTGTGGTCTCACAAAATTGGTCCCAACTCTTGGAAATCAAAACACGACTGTTTGATTCCACTGGAACTTCCTTATTATGCAAGGGGTTAATTAGATGTATAAGGAGAAGCTGAACTGAAAGCCTAACCAATGGAAGATGTAGCTTGGCTGTATCTACCTAAGACCACAGAGGAAAAAATCTTGATTGGATTCTTTTTCTCAAGAATTTAACTTTTTTCAACCAAAACCTAAAAAAGAAATGATTATTGCAATTATTGCTTAAACTGCAGAGCTTAAATATAACAAAAAAAAATGAACTAAAAATTCCAGACATGTAATTTTTATTTCCCATAAATCATTATGTCTGCTCTGATGGCCCAGAAGGCCCTGAGGGTTCCCATCTGCACATTTTATGCTAAGAGAAAACCATGATCATGATCATGCATCTGATAACAGGTGCTTACTATTCCTTCACTGTATGGGTGAGTAAAACTAAACGGCATCAGTCCTATCAGTGTTGGACGCATCATTTCAACAGGTTACATTATTCTAATAGACACAAATCAAATTCCCATGTTTAGAACAGAAATATACTTGTTTCCTGAAGGCAATGGACCAACCATTGACTTGCAAATGAAGACTCTATCACCTTCCTCAGCTGCTGTTGACATGCAAAAGCACCGCCAAGACATTTCATTAGACACTTCATTTTGGAGAGCTGAGATATTTATCATTTTTAAAATGTTTTCTGAACAAAATGAGGATTTTCAGACTTAGAAAAGAGAAAAGATTTCTACCACTATGTTAATGTGCCATATTATATTAGGTATGTTAGTTTTAATAAGCGTGAGATGGGCTGATATTCGGACGTGCATGTGAAAAACCCTGTATCTCTGAGATAGCAGCTGTGTAGAAGAACTGAGTTACACTGTTTATCCAGTCATCATGTCATCATATGTTACCTACAAAATGGAGCCTCTGATTCAACCCTTTTTTATTGTATTTTTCATGGGGAGACATTAAAAAGCATGTAATGACAACACACAATTCCATGCATGTGTTAATTTCCAATTATAATGTGTTTTCTTTTATACGTCTTACATCTCCCCTATTTTATACTTTAAAAGTGCTCTTTTCAAGATTGTTTATATAAAACTATACACATTAAAACTTCAGAAGATGCCTGGGGGTAAAAATAAATAAATAAATAAATAAATAAATAAATAAATAAATAAAACTTGTCAGGGAAAAAGGGACGTACTCACTCACTTTGTGTCTCAATGAACTCTGGCCTTATAGACTTTATATAGTTGATCCATTTTAACCATAATTTTACAAATTTCAGTCTAACAGAAAGTTTTTCTCCCATTACATATATTTCATTAACCAGGTTTATCCAGTCATCCACCGTGGGGGGGGTCAGGGGACAGCCACTTCCTTGTTACAACTTATTTACTTGCAATTAATAGAATGTCCCATAAATATTTGTCCGATCTTGTTACATCAAAATTTAGCACCCCTAGTAAAAGTATTTCAAATTCACAGGGAAATTCTAAACTAAATATATTTTTCAGTAATTTATGCAACTCCTGCAATGTCCAAAAACGTCTTAATATTGAGCTTTCCCAAAATATTTGACAGTGGCCAGCCTCCTGCTCCCTACACATCCTCCAACATCCTTGTTTTTTCTGCTTTGGAGTAATAAAAAAAAAATATATCTCGAGCCATATTCCACTTGAAATGGTAACACTACTCTCTTTTTCTCCATTTTTATTTCATGTATTCTGTCATGCTTCCTTTCTTTACCATTAAGCATTTGTACATTTTGGATATGATTCCTTTGTGGAGCTGAGACTGAAAAACAAATTCAATATTTCATCATGTTTTATCAAAATAATGTAGATTGAAGATAAAGTCCTGATTTTCAAGGTTGTATATTTATTTTAGACGCTGAAAATCCCTCAATCCCTCTTTCCATGATGTTGTAATAAGCTGTTAAACTCTTTGTCAGCCAAATCCTGAACCTACTATCCAGCTTATTTGGTATGAACTCAGGCACACCATCTAATCACTTTCAATGCTTTATGCCCTAAATGACCAGGAACCACCCACGGGTCCAAAGTTACTGAATAATAAGCCTTAGCATCTAATAAGGCTGGGGTTTCAAGGGTTTAAATGAGGTAAAATATAATTAATTTTACTGTCAAAAACGGTTAGAATGGGATGCTGTTTTTTGTGGCCTGTCAAAGTAAAAATATCATTTTTTTGCTATCCCAGGCATAATGCTACATAATTAGAATAATCAGTAATTACAATCATAATATTGATTAAATAAATGAAAATAATTCATAATACAGCCAAAACGAAATGCAATTGTACAGGTTCTTACAACAGCTATTGTGTGAATCTAAAAAGAAGTGAGATGGAGAGAAAAGAGAGAGAGTTACTGTAAAAATGAGAGTGAGTGATGAATCATTTCTATGTTCTCACCTTCAATGGCCATCCTGCATCTGAGCTCCTGCTGTAGCTGGCTCTGCCTGTCCTCCAGCTCCAGCTCCTGAGCACTGCACCACAAACACAACGTCACACCAGAGCCGTACACCCTCCAACACGACAGCAGGCAAATACACAAGAGCAATGGGCCTCATTTACCAATATCTTCCTCAGCTTTTTCTTAGATTAGTTCTTGAGAAAGGCCCTAAGAAAAAGTCTCCGTCAGATTCATGACGTTTTCTTAAACTGCAGAATTGTTCGCACCTTTGTGCTCTTAAGTGTGTGTGTAGATTCTGTTCTTACCCAAGAACAAACCCCAAATAAGAAAACACTGCTCAAAGTCAGAATCTCAGTGAAAACTGTTTGAGTTGGTTTTAAGAAGAAATTTCTTCTTAAGTATTGTTGGTGAATGAGGCTCATTGTCCTTCAAAGCCAATTCTTTAAACTTCCAGCACTGCACAGCTTAGTGCATCCCCTGCTCCAACACACCTGCTGCACCTCATCAACCGGAGAAAGCTGTGCCGAAACAGCAAAAACAACCAACTATGCAGTGCTGAGGTCTACAGAGAACAAGCTTAGTAGTCACTATGACAAACAACTTCCCAGCCATACAGGGTTTGATACAATAGACTCTTTGATTGTTTTTCACAAATTAATACATATTTTTAATAGCACACTCTACATTCTTAACATCTTTCATCTAAACATGTCCGCCTCTTTCCTTGTGACGACTCTAATACACGTGCAATAAACAAAAACAGCCAATTCAACACATGATCATCTATGGCAAGTATCTGATCAGGTAAAATAACGCTGATCTCAGAATGTTACTGACGTGGAGAAATACTCAAAGAAAGTTCTCTTACAAGATCATCAGCTCTGATTCATATCTGGCCAGTTTGTTCTTCTCCAGGACGAGTTTAAACCAGGACTGCAGGAGTGTGGCTTCGTCTGCTGACGGGTCATCTGAAACACACAACACAAAAAGAGTAAAACTGATCAGTCTATAATAAACACACTGACTTAAGGATGAGAACAACAACAAAAACAACACTCTTGAAAAAGACAGTTCTTCAAGGGTTATTTAGTGAAGAAAATGATTCTATATAGAACCATGAACACTCAAAGAACCCAATTGAAGGGTTCTTTGCACTGTGAAAGGGTTTTTCAGATTGATGGAGAATGTGCTGTATATGGTTCTATATAGAACCTTTCTGAAAAGGGTTCTATACAGCACCAAAATGGGTTCTTCTATTGTTACAATGTCAAGCCTGTAACAAGTGTGAACAGTAATAACAATAACTATAATAATATCAACTGCTCAGAACAGTTGAAGGTAGAAGAGGAAGAAAACGGTCAGCCAATCAGAAGAAAGCTCATTCATCTTGAATGAGTCTTAAAGGGGAATTCCACTGATTCTTTTAACATCTACATAATTCAATGGTTAAGATGTAAACAGTGATTCAGAGTGTTTTGATGTGAAATGGTTTACTGTAGAGAAACTTGTTGACTCTGATTTCTTTACATTAGTGGAGACAGGAATCGGATAACAAGGTACAAGGTAAATACAGCCACAAAATATTGTGATTTTATTTACTATCCAAACTCACCAGTGCACCTACACACCTTGTACATTTTTTTAATAGATACAGATGTTAACAGTTATAAAGTGGGAAAAAAAAATATATATCAATAATTTTCTTGAGTCTTTGGGGACTATTTTGCTTTAGAACCCCCTGCATGTACCTTTCCATCGTGAATGTATTTAAGAAAAAAAAAGGTTTTACTCGTCTCAAAATCATGCAATAACTTTCTGTGAGGGAGCTTTTAGGGGCATTAAACTCTTCAGACGTCTGGTTTCTATCACCACCACTGAACAATTCTCTCTCAGTAAGTTTCTCTAAAATGGAGCATTTCACACCAAACCACTCTGAATGACTTTGTTTATGTCTTACCCATCTCAGTATGCAGAGCTTCGGTTTAAAAATTGTTTAAAGGTACAGCAACAAAACAGCCTTTTTAATTCTGAGGCATAAAGAGAGGTCAGAAAATGGTCATGTAAAAATCATTTTGGTACATAAAACCACACATATGTTAAGTGGACTTCAAGAGAAAGACTCAAATAGAAGACTATAAAAATAGAAGATTATAAAAAAAATCCCAGCCTATGAGAACACAGGGTCACTGCCTCACACCAAGACCTGAACAGTAAGAATGCGTCACCTCTTTATTTAATATCATTCTTCCAAATTCAGCCATTGTCCAGCACCTACTCCAACCCACTTTCCATTCATTTGGAGTGTGCGAATGTCAGATGACAATGAGCCCATTCAGCCCAAAGCCCTCCGCCTACTGCACTGACACAATCATCCACACAGATGAGTAAACACAGGGACAAAGGCTGCTGGCCTGATAAAGTCCATTATTAGAGTGGACACTCCTGATGCACTTGTTCACTGAGATCTGCAAGGCCAGTCGGCACTCGCTGTAGATGGCACCGTACACAAAAGCGAACTTTGGAAGCTGTCTGTATCCTTCTGCTATTGAAGTGTGGCGACTGAAGATGTGCTGTGTTCAATACAGAGAACGAGTGCAACAGAGAGAGAGATTTTTTGATAAAGCAAGGGCAGAGATGGAGAAGAGTCACATGACACGCTTAAGAAAATGTGCTTTCTTTTTGTTTATGACTGAGGGGGCTTGAGGTATGAAAGTCTTCAGCCTGCCAGTGTAACTGACTGCTTTCATTCAATCATTCAGTCATTCATTCATTCATTCACTCCAAGCCCCAAAATCCACTGATCAGAATATATGCAGAAGATGTAGAGAGGCTAAAAAGCAGGGAGACATTAGCAGGTATTTCTGAGAACGAAAATGAAAAATGACCCCCCCACCCTTCCAAAAGATGTTAAAATTCAATTTACCGTTCCGCCAACAACACGCGGCGGCTTTCAGAGCCATGATTATAAACTCATTATACAGACAGGCCCGGTTAGCCTTTTTTCATCAGGAAGAATTGTGGGCTTTAATAACCCCCACATATATCAACATTCGCTACAATAATGAAACGTCACATTTTCAGACCATTTTGGAGCACTTTTCCTCTTTCCAGTCTATTTACAGGACCCATTACCTCTACAGTCATTTCAGCACAATTTACACTCTAAATGGCTATTTGGTTTAAATGCAAATCGCTATTATTTGAATCTCTAATTTTGCCCTCTTACACACAAAAAAAACCCTCACACCAAAGCAAAGACTGGTTAATTTGGCACAGCCATAAGATGGCAAGAAGAGAGACAGGAAGAGAGAGTGAAAAACATATTTCATACTCTAGAAGCCTATTCGAACAACTTCACAGAATAACCTTGCAGCATTCTCTCACTACAGAAGATGAAAAGAGAAAGAAGCGGTCCGTGTAGAGGCTGAGCTGGAATGGCCACAGCGCACCAAGGCTACCTGAAGACCTCTGATTCAAGTGTTTCTGCTCAGGCAGTGTTGTGGAAAAGCGGCTAAGGCTGCATTCCTCAGTCTAATGTCTTACAATCACAAACGGTCATGAGACTCCAGCGAACACAGGGTGAGCTACAGTAACTTGGCTAAAGGAAGTTTATCTTTATTTTTTTTCCATTTGGAATGATACATTAAGAACACACTGTCTTACATATATTCAAATGACTAAAAATAAATAATGCTCGATAAGGTTGGCGTAATTTTTCCACTTTGCTTTACTGTAGTAAAAAAAAACAAGTCGACCTACAAATGATCATTTCATGTGGTAACAAGTACTTTAACTGGTTTTATTCAATTCAAATAAATACTCTGAATTAGACAATGCAAAGCAAAATTTTAGTTTAGATATTTTACATATTTTACATCAGTTCAACCCTCAAAAACACTGCAAATCAACTTCCAGCCTCTTTTATTTTTCACAATGTATATTTATATGTCAATGTTATATATTTATGGACCTTATTTAAAAACAAATGTAGAATTTAAAATAAAAAAACTCATTTAATCATTTAATTACATAAAGTTTTCCTTTATTTCCTTATTGTCTGATAATACAATATTTAAAAAAAATGATCTATTTTTAATTTAAGCATTTCACTTAATATGCCCATCTAAAAGTACCATGCTCAAATACTTCACTACCCTACAGGAAGTCACACACACCCAACAACATGATTTATATATAATATTATATAATATAATATAATATTGTACAAAACAACTCTTTTAAACTGTGATTCTCTTAATTCCTGAAAATTCAACACATTTCCATTCTTGACGATTCTACATACTGCACACTACAAAAAATAGTATCTTATCAAGTGAAATGATCTTAAATCTAGTCCATATGTCTAATATTTCATATTTTGAGATGGTTGTGCACTGATTGTAAGATAATGTAGCTTATTTCTAGACATTATTTACTTGTTTTAGGTAATTTCTTTTCAAGTAAAATTATCTCACTACAGTGGCAGAAAATTTTGCTGGTTTCACGCACTGACTTGTAAAATTAATTTCAGGTAAATTTATTTTACAAAATCACTTAAAACAAGTAAAAAGGTCTAAAAATAAGTTAAATAATCTTAAATTAAGCTTGCAACAATCTCAACAGGAGAATATTAGATTTATTGACTACACTTAAGATAATTTATTTGACAAGATACTACTTTTTGCAGTGCAGTGGCCCCTTTTGTTCCCCATTTTCTAAAACTTTGGTCAATCAGGCTTGGTTTAAATCTCTCATCACAAGCAAACCCACTTTTAAGTTTTATTTACCTTTCAAATTTGTATGGTTTAACTAAATCAAACCAAATATCTAGTGTATAGGAACTTCTTGGATCTATTAAATCTTCTAATATCTTTGTAAGTCTCATATTGCCGATAAGGGACTGGATAGGGAAATTGTTCTACTGTCTTCTGAATGTCTTTCAATCTTGCACTACAGCTTTTATCACACCATTTAATTAATGGTCCAAGTTGGGTTGCCTGAAAATAATCTTTAAGATCTTTAAGAACTGTAACGTGGAGTACTTTATTCTTGGCTTACTACCATTCCATATGAATTTGGAAATCATCTTCCCAAATTTGAAACATTTTTTGAGGTATTTTGATATGAAGAGATTGGAATAAGTATAAAAGTCCAGGAACAACATACCTTTTAATTATTACAATTCTGAAGCTACAATCTAGTGGCAGCGTTGACCAGTTCTCAATGTATTTTAATCTGCAATTGGATCTGGTTGAAATTAAAATATTTACTTAAAGTTGTTTTGAAATGCGTGGGTTTCCTCCGGGTACTGCGGTTTCCTCCCACAGTCCAAAAACATGCAGTCAGGCCAACTGGACATGCTAAAATTGCCCCTAGGTGTGAGTGTGTGTGTGAATGTGTATGTCTGTCTGTCTGCCCTGTGATGGACTGGCGACCTGTCCAGGGTGTATCCTGCCTTCCGCCCAATGACAGCTGGGATAGGCTCCAGCTCCCCACCGCGACCCAGAAGGATAAGCGGTTTAGATGATGTATGTATGTATGTATGTATGTATGTATGTATGTATGTTTTGAAATGTTGAAAAAGGTCACACCAAGATCATTTGGAGTTTTTGCATCCCATTTCAGTTGGAATAACTTCCTGCTGTCTTGAAAGGGACAAAAGTTAAAGGCCAAGATCTGTGTTTTGTTACTTTCACTTTATATCCTGAGTGTTTGCTTTGTACATTCAACATTTCCATCAAGTATAGGAAACACGTTTTAGGACTCTCCAAATAAAGTATGACACCATCTGCGAATAAACTGATAAATGCTGTCCGTCCATTCACAGTAAATCCTCTCAATTCTTTAATTTGATGTATTGCTTGGGCTAAACGCTCAATTTATAGAGCAAAAAGAATAGGGGATGAACCACACCCTTGGCAGGTACCCCTCTCAAGGATTCTCCTTTTTCTTAAGCTACTATTAATATTAGCTGTTAGGTTTTGATATATAGTTTTGATGCACTTAATTGAGTCTTTGCTGATACCAAATCCCTCCAACACTAAATATACAAAATTCCAATTCACATTATCAAAAGCCTGCTTGGTATCAAGTTCTCCTGATGCCCAAGATGCCCCTATGATAAAGACTGTTTGATCCTCATAATAAGATCTGGCGTAAATGTCATACATCTGTGCAATACGTGGTGTATATCTTGTAACCTACATTGAAAACTGACATAGGGCAAAATGTGTTACAGTACTCTGGGTCTTTCCTATCTTTGGGAATTAATGATATTGTTGTATCTTTCCATATGGATGGCAACTGTGCTTCATTAAGGGTCAAATGAAAAGATGAAGTAAGCAGGGGAGTTAATTCTTCTTTAAAAGATCTGTACCATTCCGCTGTGGAACCGTCAGCATCTGGAGACTTATTAGCCTTAAGTCTGTATACAGCTTCAGACACTTCTTCAGCTGTAATAGTGGCTATGAGATTTTTGTTAGTGTTTCTCCAACAAATGGCAGATCAAGAGGGTTGAGGAAGTGTTGCCTCATCAGAAGCAGGTGGCTGTCTATATCTAGTTTTATAGTAATCCTTTAATACAATCAATTCCTTTCGGATTATGCACTCGCTGACCAGAACAGCGAACCTCCCTAATCTTGTGTATTGTATTTGGGGCTTGTAGTTTGTGAATCCATCTTGCTAAAAGACTAGTAGCCTTAGAACCTGCCTCATATTACACCTGCTTTAAAAATCTTATTTTTTTCCTCTACCGTTCCTCTTAAATTATCATCTATTTCTCCTTGGGTGATCTTCATTTGCTGTTTTGTGTGTTTGGAGAGTATATTATATTTCAAGGCTTCTTAATTTCATTTCATTTAAGTTTCTTTTGAAGAGAGGTAAGTGCTACCATCTTTCACCGTTTAACAGCCTTCAGAGCATTCCATAAAATAGTAGGAATAATCTCTTCTGTCATGTCCCTTAATATATCTCTTAATCTCCATTTCAATCCATTCAGTTGTTGTTTTATTGTTCAACATACCTACATTTACTCTACAGGTGGTGTTTTCTGTATGCTGCCCAAATGTATAACCTAAATAGACTGCGTTATGGTCCGATATCAGCTGCCCCAATTTTACATTTGTTACCCTGTGTAGTTCCCAGCTACTCATAAATATATAGTCAATTCCTGAGTGAGTGTTGTGTGGGATGGAGTAATGTGTGGGTGAAGTTCCCTCCAGACATCGATTCCATTTGTTTCAGAATTTTTCTGCTGATACTGGCCTGACACTGGGTATTGAATCGGTGTCATCTGTATGGTTCATGTTACTGAAGGTGACCGTAGAGAGGGAAGGCAAAAGCTGAGGTGTTGCTTACCCTGCTCTCCTCTCAGGACTTTCTCCAGGGTGACTCCTTTCTCCTCCAACACTCTCTGCTTCTCCTCCACTTCCTCCAGCTGCCTCTGGATAACCTACATGCACCAGCACACACTGTTACACTTCCCCCCACTGCACATACTGAACCCCTGCACAGTGTGGGGTTAATGCAAAGGTCAGCAACATGCGGCTCTTTTACTGCCCTGTTGTGGCTCCACAGCAGAATTAGATTTTTTTAGGTAAAAATAAAATAATCCTCCTTTGCAGGAAAATAAAGCTCTGCTGATTGTTTTAACAGTTTCAACAATAAATGGTCATAAACGCTGGAGTTAATGTAGGGCTGCTAATTCACCCTTTAACCCTGAATGCTGGTGCGCAGACTGCTGGTCACCATAGCAATGCAGGCAATATTCTAGTCTAGCTAGCAGCTAACAAAAAGGCAAAGTCAGCTTCTCGATCGAATTGTCCCGTTCCACCTTAAATGGTGCAGCAGTTGTGTTCTGGCGCCTCAGACACAATTTAAGGTAAAATGGGAAAATTCACACAAGAAGCTGGTGAATGAGAAGCGACTTCAGCCTCGTAAAAATCAAATGTTGAGAAACATTTTACAAGCAAAACAAAATATTCTACTTTTGCAGAAAAAAGTTTCCTGCCAGAGATGCAAGAAAAGTGGCTATGGCTGAACTAAAGCTTAAAGCAGAGCAAAGGAAGTCTGCGTTATCGTTTATATTATATTTTTAGCCTATATCAAAACATTAACACATGCCAACACATATTTACAGCCACGATGGTAAAACATTACTTCAATAAAATGGACATAAAATGTTGTGGCTCCCAAGGTGGTTTGATTTTTGTTGAAAGCACAAAGTCGTTCTTCTTAGCATTTAGGGGGCCAACCTCTGGTTTAATTGGTGCATTTGGTTCCCCAGTAGTTGTGCCAAAAGCAACAGCTACTCATGATGGGGTCCATAGGAACATAACACGACACACAATTACATACAGAATGTTACATGACAACAAATTGCAGTATATTGATAGAGATTTTTAAACTGCACTCAAAAATGATCAACAATCACAATAAAAACCTCATTTGATTTAAATGATCACAGATCGTGTGCATTTGTACCTGTGCTCTGTGTAGTCGTTTGAGCTGCTCTCTCTTGCTCTGCTGGAGGAGTATTTTCTCCTGCTTTCTTCTCTGTCTTTCCGAGTTGTCAGGATCAGACTACATACAGCACAGAGCAAAGGAACAATAATGCAGAGAGATGTGAATAGTGCATAAAGTTTCTTTCATTATACAAAATTATATCGATGACATATTGATTAATTGGCCACAAATCAGTATTATCATAAACTCCTCTCCATAGCACAGAGCTAATGCTCATGCGGTCACTATTCTGTGGATTGAAATGTAGCTTTAACAACACAAATTCACGCTTTTAAATGGATTTCTTGTTAAACAGCTTACTCTCAGTCATACTTATATAACTGTGACATGGAAAGAAGAAAAGACTGACTGTAAAAAAAGGAAAAAAAGAGGATGGAGCTCTGATTGTTGTTCACAGAGGAGCTTTTCTATACATGTGTGATGAAAGATCTTTACATTTCACCAGTTTTCACTGAACCAGCACATTCAGCCTCTTTCAGAGCCAATAAATACAGCAGTGCTGATAAATCCATTCAAGCAATAACATGTTGGCTGAAAGTGAACTAGCTTGTGCACAAATGTAAAACGTCTTCATGATGTTAAATTCCACTTTTTATACATATGAAATGTTAAACATGATACTGATATTAATGTTAGAAGAGATAGTAATATAATGGTGATTTGAAGAGCGGTTTACCCTTCGTGTGGTGGACTCTGGGCCTTCCTCACTGGAAGAATTGTCTTCCTCCTCCTGTTGTTGCTGCTGCTGCTGTGTGGAGGCTGTGAACACAATACATGACATATTAACCATTTAATAAGGAGAAATCAAGAGTACAGCATAACTACAACCAGCAGACCAGTACTGCAAACAGTGAGTGCATTTACATGCACTTAATAATCCGAAAACGGCAAAATCAGATTTTGTCAGTAATCAACATGTTTAAAGGTCTACGCCAGGTCTACATGAGTCAGACAGTAATCAGATTTCTGCTTTGCAACCAGACGTGATGTAAACGTAACGTAAAACTTACAAAAAAAAAACAGCACCACTTTACCGGAAAATATGAACATACATCACCAAGAAGATGAAGAATATTTAAATCCTTCAAGCATGTATTTGGTTACAGTGTTCAGTGTTGCTCCAAAATGTTTTGCTGCATCTCATGGCAATGCTGCACACTTATTCTCGGTAACGCTGTCCGTTTTTGCACATGCGCAGACTAAGAAATCCGAAAGAAATCAGAGTAAGAGTCTACATGCAGTGAGAAATCTGATTACTGAGCTAAAATCGAGCTCTCTTAAATAGATTTCTTAATCGGATTTATAAAACGAAAACCAACTCATTTGCATATATTCACCTATTCAGCCTACAGCAGTTCAGCTCTGTGCACTCAAGCTGAAGTTAAAAGGAGTTTTTCAGTGTGGACTGCTTTTTGAATGAGGCACAAAACAGGGCAGCCCATCAGAACAGTGCTAATTTACATATATCAGTCTTACAGGCACATTAACAAACACAGCCTAATTCTTAAGAATAAAGAGAGGTTGGAAAATGCTGGTGTAAAAATGAATGACTGATTTTGATATGTACGCTAACACAAATGTTCTAAGTGAACTTTGTGGGGGGAGGGTTAAGATACAAGAAAAATGTATGACATTGGCCCTTTAATACCCTTGATTTCAGAAGAAATGGACAAACAAGTGGCTATAAAGTTGGGTTCCTGGCCAAGGATAATGCCTAGCCTAGACTACATTTTCGTTTTAATGGAGAATCTCCATTTGTAATGATGCAGTCAAGGACTAGGCTTAATCCCCCTCTGGGAAACGCATAGTGATGTTGTACATTTAGGTTTATCCCTTGTGTGGCATTGATGTTTTTGTTACTCAGTGGTCTGGTGGACCCACCACATTGTTGTTTTTTTAACTGAATACAACCATAACAATTTCTATAAAAATACCAGATGTTTAAAATATCACAAGTGTCCAGCGTAGGGTTCTCCTTTAGCAGCTGTAGCCAGTCAGCAGCCTGTCCATGGTATCCACCCTCACACACACACACACACACACACACACACACAAACACACACACACACACACACACTAACAGCAGGCCATGTAGGAGAAGAACAGAGTGAAGGGACACAGCACCTCCACACTTTTATTCCCCGCAGGTTCACCCAACACCACACGTGTAAAATAAATGTGCAGGGGGTTTACAGTGTGAAGACTGTATTATTTTATATTTTCTTCACAGAAAATGAGCAAAGGACAAGAAATCTCAGGTTGAAATTATAATAAATTGCATCATTTTTTTCTTTTGGCAAACATTGAAAATGGGTCCCACAGACCCCAACACCACACAAGGGTTAACCAGGCTCCATACTGGACTTACCATTTACACACTGAAAGTACAAAATGAAGTACTATGACATCTGACTGCATGCTAGGAGCTATAATAGGAGCCAGAGGGGGGTTTACAGTTGACTAAGCAGCATTGCACACAACACTGGCTACATATTTACAAAGCAGATCAGGGATAAGACATGGTGTTTTGTATGTTTTTAAACCTATCACAGTCAGCGCAGTCTGTGTGTGCTGGATTGTAATCATTATCACATGTTTTCATAGATTCATGGGGCGTCTGAGGTTAAGCTTCACGCCCAGCTGCTTTTACTGAACTGCACACGTTAACCCCTTCAAGCCTGGATTATAAATTACTTTGGGTCTGTTTCACAGAATAGGATTTAGCTTAATCCTGAGCTAATGTTACTCTGGTCATTACTCTCAATTACCTCCAGCTAAAAACGTAACTTATTGCAAGACTCATCTGTGTGTTCTTCTACTCAAAATGAGTAGCTAGATAACAACAGATCAGTGATTCCCAATCCTGGTCCTGCAGTACCCCTACCAAAGGGTGGGCGAAGTGGCAAAAATATAACATCACAATAATCCAAGACATTTTCATTATATGCAATATATATCCTAGTAGTTTGTTTACTGTGGCTTACAACAAGCTGGAACGAACAAAACAAAATTAACAGCAAAACAGTTGTGTTGCACTAAAAGAGCAATTCCACATATTTTTCTAAATTTCCATATAATTAAACCAGAAAGATTTAAACACAGGCATCCAGTGTGGTTTAAAATGTAATGTGAAATCTACAGAAAATTACAGTCAGAATTGTTCACAGTGGTGGTGATGGAAACCAGGCATCCGAAGCGTTTAATAGTTCTAAAAGCTTCCTAACAGAAAGTTCTACATGCACTGATTATGAACACACTGTCTAAAACCTCAGAAATTTTTAAGTAATAGTTTTGGTCTAAAACGTATTTTTTTTAAATATATTCATGGAAGCGATATACATGCAGGATGTTAAGGCAAAATAGTTCTCAAAGAAAGCTGATTTTTTTTTTTAAATTGTACTATTTCCCCCATTATCAACATGCCGTCGCAGTCATGCAAAAGTTTTGTCGCTCCATTTTTGTCATTTATTTGCTTCTTTGCATTATTTTTAAACTCCAGTTAACCTTTGCATTGTGTTAAAATTTCATAATGAACAGACCAATAGAAACAGTCCAAAATTACTCAGGTAAAAATATTTTTACATCAATTAACATAAAGAAGATATTAAGAAGAAAGCAGAAAAATATACGAGTAAAGTAAGAGCATAATGGGCTGACATCCAATCAGCTGCTTGTGAGTATGCAAGCTATGCAATTACTATACACTTGTTGTCTACTGTCATTGGTCTACCTTTTTCTTATGTTTTCTGACATATAGTTTTCTGAACATATGCATTTGCAATATGATAAATTTAGCGTTATCGTGATTTCTTCACAGCATGCTTTTCTAAGAATATTATAGATACCGTTATACTTAAAGAACACTCACCAACTACATAATTCATGACTAACAGAGCACAATATGGCCTCTTTAATTGGAGTTACTGTAGATGTGGATGTGAAACATTCGATGCAAATCATCGTATTGACTAGTTTTTGACAGTTTAAGGTAGTATTTTTTTAATCTGGAATGTATTTTTTAGATCCAACTTTTTAAACCTCAAAAAAACTAAACATTGTGTATATATTGTGTATCATGAAAATGTCCTGAAGTATCATGATGTTATATTAATCGCCCACCCCTACTCCTACACATCAGGAACGGCTTCTTAATTAAGTGATTACATTTATGAAGGAAAACTTAAACTATGCCGGACAGCGGTATGCCAGGACCAGGATGCAGAGCCACCTTAATAGACCAGCAAGTTAGAATTTCCTCCTGCTCACACCTTTGTTTCGGAATTTGGAGAGGATGGCCCAGATGTCTTTCGTCTGGCTGTCTGTCCTGCTTCTGCCCACTCCCTCATTCCTCTTCACCCGGAGAGAGGAGAAAAAGTTGAGCTTTCTGGGTGGCAGCGAGGCCATGTCGTCTTTGGAGCCCCCTGGTGGCTTGGTGCTGAGGGTCACCTCCTCCAACATGGCTGTAATCTCGCTCCTGCGCTGGCTTCCTTCCGTAGCTGCTCTGGAGCGCGTTCTCTCTTTGTCCTCCTCATGGATCTGGGTGGAAGCTCCAAATAGTGAACTCAAGCTGAAAGAGTCCTCAGACAGCGGCCTGGCTCTGGGTGGCCGGTTCCTCCTGATGACTTTGGTGTTGTTTCCTGAGCTGGAGAAGGACTTCCTTAGGGCACTGGCCCACAGCTGGAAACCTGAGAGTGGAGGACTGCGGTCAGGAGCTTCCTGAGGTTTGGTCTGGTTCTCAGGGCTGCTCTGTACCTCTCTCTCTGATCCGTCTGTGGTGGCAGCAGCTTCTGAGAACTTTCCAGGAGTGGTTAGATCCCAATCCAGCAGCTTCTCCTTCTCAGATGAGGAGAGAGTGAGCTTCTTTTTAGGGCTAAGAGAGTTTTGCTTGTCTGGGGCAACTGTATGAGGCTCTGTGGACGAGGTGCTGGGTTTTGGGGTGGCTGAAATTCCATGGGTGCGATAGTAGGGTATTTCAACAGGAGCTGGCCGCTCCTCCTTGTCCTGTAGGGGGCAGTGTGGGTCTGCAGTCTGCGATGCAGGGTTTGCTGGAGGATTCTGTGGGTTTTGTGGAAACAGAAAAAAGGACAACACAGTTTCAGGATAATAGAACCAGCTGTTGCTTGTTTAATTGTTTTTTAATGTTTTTAATGTTTTCTGGGAGGGTGAGGGGGTGAGGTGGGGGGTGGTGGGGTAAGGTGCGGGTGCGGGTGTGGGATAATATTAACCTTTTAAAACGCTTTTTACTCTGACTTATTCTTAAGACTTCTTTTGAATTATTAGTATGAATAATTAGGTCATAACACATTATACAGTGTTTTTTAAAATAAAACAGCACTTTTCCCTCCCTTAAAAGTCATCTACACCAATAAAAATATGAATTACTCTTGTTAGTGTGAATAATTTGGGTAGTGTTTTCACTGTCATACAGGTGCATGTATCTCCTCAAAGTCAGAATCTCCATCTTCTTCTATGAGTGCGTCGTCTCCTCCTGCTGCTCGGCTGCGGTCGGGGGTCTTTACCCAGATCAGTTCTGGCAGACAGGAAATATAGTTCAAAAAGGGGTTTCTTGTCTAAAACCCACAACAAAAGCCAGACTATTAAAATGCAATAAACTAATTCTTTCATACAAGACACAACATGATACTCACATATAATCAAATTACTAGTTTAAACAAGGCATCAGTGCATGAAATGTTGCCAGCCTTCAGATATCAGTTGTACATGAAATAGTCTGAATGGACCAGCATGGTGTTACAGCACACTAACATTTTATAAATGAACTACAATGCCCTGTTAAAGACTGATTTATAATTAATGTAAAACTGACTTTTTGGAAAGCACAGATCATCAGCACCCTCTAGTGAACAGTGACAAGTACTTGCAGTTTAATATAAAACAACATCCAAAACTTTCAAAGATTAATATGCAGTAAAAGCAAAAATGGCCATCATGAAAACATCTTTAATTAATTTTACTACAGTCCAAAACTAACACACATGCACATTCAGTGCTGTCATGTGCCTAGTATATTCCTTTCCCCCCTTTTTTCCACCCTTAAAGAACAGAATTTCTGTTTCAGTCACGAAGCTCTAACATGTGCATTAAAACGTGTGTGGGATTTGTGATAATGACGTTTGGTCAGGTGTGACTCAAAGCTGCATTAACTTCTATAAATAGAGTGCGTGTAACTTGATGGATTTGAATCCTATTAGGATTATAATGAAAGCATGAATGAACATGAGACGTACAGCCCTGCAGGTCGACAACGGGACTGGAGTCCATTATAAATCCTGTGATTTTATAAGAATTTAGAGAGAGAGAGAGGGAGAGAGAGAGAGAGGGAGGGAGGGAGAGAGAGAGAGGGAGGGAGAGGGAGAGGGAGAGGAGATAGCTAAAGGGAGCATGAGAGGAAAGAAAGTAAGTGAGAGAGAGCACGAGAGGAGAAAGAGTGTGTGGAAGAAAAAGGGACAGAGAAGATGAGAGATGTGGGTGGGAGAGAGAGATGGAGATGTGGTTGGGTGAGAGTGAGAGAGAGAAAGAGAGTGTTGTGGGTGTGAGAGAGAGAGAGGAAGAGAGATATGGGAGACAGAAAGACAGAGATGTGGGAGAGAGAAAGAAAGATGTGGGTGAGAGAGAGAGAGAAAGAGAGAAATGTGGGTGAGAGAGAGAGAAAGAGAGAGAGTGTTGTGGGTGTGAGAGAGAGAGAGGAAGAGAGATATGGGAGACAGAAAGACAGAGATGTGGGAGAGAGAAAGAAAGATGTGGGTGAGAGAGAGAGAGAAAGAGAGAAATGTGGGTGAGAGAGAGAAAGAGAGATGTGGGAGACAGAAAGAAAGGAGAGAGAGATGTGGATCAGAGAGAGAGAGAGAGAGAGAGAGAGAGAGAGAGAGAGAGAGAGAGAGAGAGAGAGAGAGAGAGAGAGAGAGAGATGTGGGAGAGAGAAAGAAAGAGAGATGTGAGAGAGAGAGAGAGAAACACACACACACACACACACGTGGGAGAGGGAGAGAGAGAGAGAGAGAGAGAGAGAGAGAGAGAGAGAGAGAGAGAGAGAGAGAGAGGGGAGGGAGGGAGAGAGGGAGGGAGGGAGAGAGAGAGAGGGAGAGGGAGAGGAGATAGCTAAAGGGAGCATGAGAGAAAAGAAAGTAAGTGAGAGAGAGCACGAGCGGAGAAAGAGTGTGTGGAAGAAAAAGGGACAGAGAAGATGAGAGATGTGGGTGGGAGAGAGAGATGGAGATGTGGTTGGGTGAGAGTGAGAGAGAGAAAGAGAGAGACTGTTGTGGGTGTGAGAGAGAGAGGAAGAGAGATATGGGAGACAGAAAGACAGAGATGTGGGAGAGAGAGAAAGAGAGAAATGTGGGTGAGAGAGAGAGAGAAAGAGAGATGTGGGAGACAGAAAGAAAGGAGAGAGAGAGATGTGGATCAGAGAGAGAGAGAGAGAGAGAGAGATGTGGGAGACAGAAAGACAGAGATGTGGGTGAGAGAGAGAGAGAGAAAGAGAGAGACTGTTGTGGGTGTGAGAGCGAGAGGAAGAGAGATATGGGAGACAGAAAGACAGAGATGTGGGAGAGAGAAAGAAAGAGATGTGGGTGAGAGAGAGAGAGAGAAAGAGAGAAATGTGGGTGAGAGAGAGAGAAAGAGAGATGTGGGAGACAGAAAGAAAGGAGAGAGAGAGATGTGGATCAGAGAGAGAGAGAGAGAGATGTGGGAGAGAGAAAGAAAGAGATGTGAGAGAGAGAAACACACACACACACACACACACACACACACACACACACGTGGGAGAGAGAAAGACAGAGAGAGAGGAGAGAGAAAGAAAGATGTGGGTGAGAGAGAGAGAAAGAGAGAAATGTGGGTCAGAGAGAGAGAGAGAGATGTGGGAGACAGAAAGACAGAGAGATGTGGGAGAGAGAAAGAAAGAGATGTGGGTGAGAGAGAGAGAGAGAGAAAGAGAAATGTGGGTGAGAGAGAGAGATGTGGGAGACAGAAAGAAAGGAGAGGGAGATGTGGGACAGAGAGAGAGAGAGAGATGTGGGAGAGAGAAAGAAAGAGAGAGATGTGAGTGAGAGAGAGAGAGAGAGAGAGAGAGAGAGAGAGAGAGAGAGACACACACACACGTGGGAGAGAGAAAGACAGAGAGATGTGGGAGAGAGAAAGAAAGAGAGGAAGATGTGGGAGGGAGAGAGGGAGATGTGGCAGGGAGGGAGAGAGATAGATGTGGGAGAAAGACAGAGGGAGATGTTCTTACTGGCTCTGATCTTCCTTTTCCAGTTGTTCCTGGTGGTGATCCCTCCTTTGGTGAAGGAGCGCTCAACTGTACACATCACACAACACACAGGTCAGCTCAGCACTGCGGCCACTCACTGACTCACAGTATGAACAGCTCAACAACGACTGAAAACGTCTAATAGGGACGTAACTATACAATTCAAGATTCAGTTCAGTATGATGTGGTTGTGTCTCCACATGGTACATTTTCAACACAGCAGAAATAAGCAGTGCCTGAATATGTGCCTGGTGTTCATATGTTTGCTTGCTTGCGTTCAGCAGTTCAACAGCTGCTGTGTGAGCGACTGCATGTCTGACTCTGAACAAAATGTTCAGACCAGCAACCTTCCAACCAAAACAAACAGCCAGACTGAAGCACTAGCCTTAGCCCACCACTCCCACTTACGCTTATAAGAGAAACCGAGGGACAGAGAGGGAGGGAGAGCACTGAATCTTGAGAAATATGGAGAGAATTAGAAGTGCAATGTGTGCGTGTGGGTGTGAAAAAGTGGATGCTCACCTTTGAGCTGTGGAGAGTTCGGCCTGAGCGGCTCAGACTCTGTAGGAGTGTCCTGGATAGATGAGTCCTCCACTCTGTTGGACAGCAATACATACTTATAAAAGAAGTCAATGAGCAGTTGCTGCATTCTTTCAGAAAATGGTTATGAGAGATATTTTTATAAGACTTCATGATTTCCTCAAAGACATTAACACATTATGATACAACTTGTAAAACTGTCACTTTCAGAGATGGGAAGTAGTTTTTCAGAGTGAAGAATATGTGATGAATTGCATGATTGTGCACTGACACCAGAAAGATCTTAGAAAAAGATAAGAAACCGTAACCTTTTTGTTGTTCCTGTGTTGGAAAGTTGGATAAAACTTCATAAGAACGCTCCGTAAAGACATTCTAATGTCTGTATCATCCTAACACCAAGTTTTGAATTCATGTTAAATAATTTCAAACATTTTTCATAGTATTCAAAGTACATTTTGAGTAAATTGGTTTTGTGTTATTTTTTTGTGAGTACTGGGAAACAGTTTGACACTGTCCATTGTAATTAACGCTAAAACAGTTGTATTTTTTAAAAAAAAGGAATATTGGCTCTTTAAAGACCTTGTCAAAAGGCTAAAAGTCCAATCAAACAGGTGCTGGTTTAGCCTCTGGTAGTCACTGAGGGCTGTAGTGTGTATCTGTTTCGGCTCTGTACCTGCTGTCACTAATGACTTTAGCTCCTTAACACAGCAGGAAGCTGGTTAGTGAAATCTGGTGTTTGGTCACAGAGCCGTGACAACTGCTTATAATGCTGGAGCTCTTGGCAGATTCACCTGAGCATCCAAAGCCTAAGCCAGTTCTCATCAGTTTCTGTCCTGCATAGTTCAATGATTTTTTTTTCCTTGTTCTTGCATTTGATTCAGCTCACAATCATTTTTTCATTCAGCTGGCACTCGTATCCAGAGTGACTGTAAGCGTCTGACCTAAAAAAAACTACCATAACTTGATCTAGTTCAATAAATACAAGTTTAGACAACTATTAGAAAGAAATTTTACAGATTTGTCAAAACCTCTGCATAATTAAGTCATTAAGATGTAAACAAGTCATTCAGAGTGGTTTGATGCAAAATGGTTCACTGTAGAGAAAGTTATTCACTCAGATTTCTTACAGTGGCGGTGATAGGAACCAGGAGTCATGTTGTCTACAACACAAATAACATAGTACATAATTTTATGTACTGTCCAAAATGACCAGTGAACCTAGTTTTATATGTAATGTCGTATCATCTAAGTTTTAGATGTAATGTAGTGTCTTATGAGTATTATTTGTAATGTTGATAATCAAATTGTGGTAAAAATGAAAACTACGTTTTCTTTGAGGACTATTTTTCCTTACAACACTCTGCATCTCCACAATGAATAAATAAAAAAAATAAAAATAAAGCCAAAATCTTTCCAAAACAATCATAAAACTATGGAGCCCTGCTGGTGACATCCTGTGTAAATTAAAATAATGCGTGGCCACGACTTAGTAAGGCATGGGAACAAGATAATTCAGTAGTGGCCACAACTTAATAAGGCGTGGGAACAAGGTCCTAATGCGTGGCCATGACGTAGTAAAGCATGGGAATGAGATCATGCCTTACTAAGTCGTGGCCACGACTTAATTATCTCATTCCCATGCCTTATTAAGTCGTTGCCACACATTAGGATCTTATTTCCATGTGTTAATAAGGCGTGGCCATGCATTATTTTTTATTTATATGGGATTTCACCATCAGGGCTCCATATAAAACAGTGTCTCAGGCATCGGACAACATCTTCATAACCAATTCAAGTAAAGGTTTCTGTGAGGCATTGGACATTTGGTTCCTATCACCACTGCTATGAACAGACCATCAGATTCAGGCTCTGCAAATTTCTCTAGAACAAAGCATTTCACATCTCACCACTCTGAATAAACTGGTTTAGATATTAACAATTTAATCATGTAGAAAATATGACAAATCTAATTCCTGTTTAAATTAGAGGCCAGCACACAAAGTTTAGATTACACAAGACTGCAAAAATCTAAATTGAGCATCGCTGTGGCTCTCCTAGACTGGCACTGAGGAACACTGCTCAATGGCTGAATCGACTTCCTGTTTGAAATACAGTGCATGACCGGGCCATAAGACTAAAGGCCTTTAGGCTTATGGCCTGTAAGTCTAAAGCAGTAGCAGGTAGTGTATTGTGTATAGGATGAGACTAGAAACAGCAGTATAGGACTGAACTTAGATTCATTTGGGATTCAGCCTTAGTGAGCATGAAGCTGGAGCACAGATGGAGCTGGAGACAAACCTGGTGCTAATGAGCTCTGGAGGATTTGAAAGCCGCTCCTCAGATGGACTCACGGTCACCATGCTGGGGTCCAGCGGACCATTCTGGTCCCGGCTGTGCTGTCTCTCAGTCGATGATTTGACTCCTAAAGTGTCTACACACACAAAAATATATGCACACTACAACTGAGAATTCAACCAAACCGACCTTAGTGATGAGCTACTCTGTTCTGTCTGTAGGGTTTTTTTGTTTAACAAACACCATCTTATACTTGGTGCTAATGTAATGGACACAGTACAGAGTCTCTTGTTTTTGTTTTACAGCAAATCATCATAGGGAGCAAAATTAAACTGAATTTTTTCACTGTTTCTGTAAAGGTCACAAAAAACAACACAATTACATATCCATCTTTTCAACCTATAGCAGTTTAGCCTTGTCTGTTCACTCTGGAGTTTTAAACTGATCGACTGATAAAGGGACGATGCAGAACAGTCGACCAGAACAGAGATCATTTACATAAACCATTCTTAAAGGAACAGTCACAAAACAGGCTCTTCAAGAAAAAAAAAACGGAAAAATGTACATATAAAAATTTATGATGTTTTTGTTACATAAAACCACACATTTGTAATAAGTGGACATCAAGATAACCATGTGGTGATGTGCACAGTAGGATAACAGAGTCTCTCTACATCCTATTTTACAAAGACAATTAAAAAATACTTTATTAAAGTTTATACTTCACAATTCTATTCAGTCAAACAGAGTAAAATGGGTATGGATGGACTTTGGTAGCAAATGATGACTTTTTCTGCTTTTTTTCATTGTTTTGCTCTATTTGAGCAGCTTTCAGTGCAGTTTACAACACTGTTAGTGTTTTAGTTTAGTTGATTTTTTTTACTATCCTAATTTAATTTCTAATTCAATTTTTTAATGTAATTCTTTCTTTTAAATCTATCGTTTTAATCATGTTTTTAAGTTCTATTCCCCTTTACTTTTTTAAATGACTCTGTATTTTTCATAAAGTACTTGGAATGACAGCAGTGTATGAAAGGTCCTATATAAATAAACTTGCCTTGCCTTGTTAGCCTACATGTCTCCACCAATATCAGGGAAGTGGTTGTGATTGTGTTTGCATGTGCTTAAAAATTCACAAAGTGTGCACTTGGCAAGAATATGCCAAGAATATGCCATGTTTCAAGTAACCAGTGACTTCTGCCACTGTCAGTTACACTTCTCTGTGAGAGCAGACCATCGTTCACTGCCAGCTTGTACACTCGGCTTACATCACATGGTAATCAGCTGCTATCGGATGTTGGTATTGGTGCATTTTTATGAGTATGAGTAAAAGAGTATGATATCAGGCTGATACCTGATACCAGAATGAGCAGCGATATTATGAAGTTAAAGTGCAGATTATCCCAGGATGAATTCTGAACTGTGCAGAAGCATTTTAGTTGCTCACATCCAACCAAATACTGTCAAAATTCATTGGATGGCACTTCAGCAGGACAGTGACCTGACACATATTAAAAATGCAACGTTCTTGACCGACAAGACGATAAGCCTCAATTCAGAAAACATGGAACTGAACTGAAAATCACATTGAAAATCACCAAATGGAACAAAACTGAAGAACCCTGCTCTAGAATCTAAAAGACTCAGGTTTTCTTGCCTTCAGAGTCAATGTGAACTCTACTGGGGGAATGACCAGGTGTCGCTTTAAGCAAGCTTTTCTGTGCAAACAGCACCAGTATGTGCAAAAACTGAAAAATGGATTAAAACATTACGTCTAGAATGAGTGGACAGTATCAGAAACACCAGGAATACTTTAGAGCAGAGGGGTCAAACTTGTTCCTTCCAGGTCACAGCACTGTAGTCTTTAGCATTCATTCTATTTAAACACACTTCAGCTAATCAGCTAATCAAAAAGGTTAGAAGAAGGAGAACACTAATCTCTGTAGAGCTGTGGGCTGCAAGGAACCCAGTCTGACACCTCCAGTTTAGAGCATTATTTATCTATGTAATGTACTTCATATTCATATAAACATAGAGCATAGAACTAACATACATACACTGTTAAAAATTACCTATAACAACCTACAAATTCACTGGTTATATAAATATGAACACTAACTGGTAGGTACTGGAATTAATCTAAACACACTAATAATTATAAGTCTGGAACAGCCATTCAAAAGTGTGGAATCGCTGTTTTCGGTAATATAAAAAAACGATTTTGTGGCATGTTTAAAGCTATTCGGTAATATTTTACATTAAGGGTCGCATATTCATTAATAATTGTATGCTAAAAAGTAATAAAATACTTCTTTATGCATTAATTACTCATTAGCATTAGTTACTGATTGAGTACTTAGTAACTGAGTACACTGTTAACTGATGGTTTGGGTTGTTCCTAATTCACAGATTAATTACTCATTAACTGTGTAGTAACTGGTTTCTTATTAAACTGCTAATTAACCGATGAGTGTGTTTACTCATGTAAATAAGTAACATGAGAAATAATGAATACTTATGACTTAATTCTGTTAGCTATCTTTTAATTAATCTGCTGATCTGTGGTTACATTTTCCTTCACTGTGCAGTCTTATATGGAACTCAGTCTTTGTCTTTACTGAACACTTTATCTTCATGATTCACCTCCGCATATTATTTACATTTTCACAATTAATTGCTCCTTACTTCAGGTTACTTATCCATTAATTACTGCTTTTTGTGTTTCTCCAAGTAAAGTGGCAATCTTCACTACATGCTAATTTGCATACTAATTATACTAACTGTCACTGGATCAGATGTGCAAGTATAAAGGACTTAATCATAAATTCATAGTATAAATAGTAATGAGAATAATCACTTCACTGGGAAGGACACAAAATGGCAATTACTTACATTAAATCAGTAGATTAATTAACAGATAATTAACAGGATCAACTCATAAGTACTTGTTGGTTCTCATGTTACATATTTACATAGCAGTAAAGTTCATTAGCAGCATAGTAATCAGCTCTTAGTACACAGTTAATAAGTAATGAAGCTGTGAACTAAGAACAAACTAAACTATCAATTAACAGTGTACTCAATTACAAAGTACAAGCCCATTTCCAAAAAAGCTGGGACGCTGTGCAAAGTGTAAATAAAAACAAAATGCAATGATATGCAAATCATTTAAACCCTATATTTTATTGAAAATTGTACAAAGACAACATATCAAATGTTGAAACTGAGAAATGTAATTGTTTTTTGAAAAATATATGCCCATTTTGAATTTGATGCCAACAACACGTTCCAAAAAAATTGGGACGGGGGCAATAAAAGGCTGGTTAAGTTGTGTAAAGCTAAAAAAAAACAAAGAAAAAAACAACCCGGTGGTTAATTCACAACAGGTCAGTAACGTGATTGAGTACAAAAAGAGCCTCCCAGAGAGGCGGAGTGTTTCAGAATGAAAGGAGGGGTTCACCACTCTGTGAAAGACTGCATGATCAAATAGAACAACAATTCAAGAATAATGTTTCTCAACATAAAATAGCAAAGAACTTTGTTTTTCATCACCTACGGTACAGAATATCATTAAAAGATTCAGAGAATCTGGAGAAATTTCTGTACGCAAGGGACAAAATCAAAAACCAGTATTTGCTGGCTGCGATCTTTGGGCCCTCAGGCAGCACTGCATTAAAAGCAGACATGATTCTGTAGTGGAAATCACTGCATGGGCTTAGAAATATTTCTGAAAACCACTGTCTATGAAAACAGTTCGTTGCTGCATCCACAAATGCAAGATAAAACTCTAAAATGCAAAGAGGAAACCAAATATAAACAGGATCCAGAAACACCACCGCCTCCTCTGGGCCTGGGCTCACTTAAAATGGACTGAGGCGAAGTGGAAAAATGTCCTGTGGTCTGATGAATCAACATTTGAAATTGTTTTTGGAAATCATGGACACTGTGTCCTCTGGGCTAAAGACCACTCATCAGTGCCCAGTTCAAAAGCCAGTATTCATGATGGTATAAGGGTGCATTAGTGCACATGGTATGGGTGATGTACACATCTGTGAAGGCACCATTGATGCTGAACAATATATACATGTTTTGGCAACATATGCTGCCATCCAGACGACGTCTTTTCAGGGAAGGCCTTGCTTATTTCAGCAAGACAATGTAAAACCACATTCTGCATGTATTACAACAGCATTGCTCCATATTGAAAGAGTCCAGGTGCTAAACTGGCCTGCCTGCAGTCCAGACCTGTCACCACTGATAACATTTGGTGCATTATGAAATGAAAAATACTACAAATGAGACCCTGAACTGTTGAGCAGCTGAAATCCCATATCAAACAAGAACAGGAAAACATTTCACTTTCAAAACTACAGCAATTGGTCTCCTCAGTTTCCAAATGCTTACAGAGTGTTGATCAAAGAAGAGGTGATGACACACAGTGGTAAACAGGTCCCCGTCCCAACTTTTTTTGAACGTATTGTTGGCATCAAATTCTAAATGGGAATATATTTTTCTAAAAACAATAAAATTTCTCAGTTTCAACATTTGATATGTTGTCTTTGTAGTATTTTCCTTTAAAAATATGCTTTACTTGATTTGCACATCACTGCATTCTATTTCTATTTACATTCTGCACAGCGTCCCAACTTTTTTGTAATAGGTTTGTACTTAAATCAGTAACTAATGCTTAATGAACAGTTAATTATATTTAAATAATGAGTTTAATTGGTTATTAGCAGATATTTATCAATTAATTTGCAACCCTTAATGTAAAGTGTTAGCAATTATTTTAATAAGATGCTATTCTAACTAATTAAATGCTGTGTTAATGTTAGACGTGTCCAGAATGATGAATAGAGCTGTAGATGATTGTATAATGACTGAAAAGCTCAATAAATCACAATAAAATTAACATTCAGAATGCTTCATACTTGATAGGTGGCAGGTGTTTCCAAAAAAACAACGTGCCAACAAAATATCTTAAAATACTTTCCTGTATCCACCTAATAGCATTTGAATCTACACTGTATAAGTAAACAAAATGACAGCAATTAATATGAGTGAATCCAAACTTTTGAACATCAGTGTTAAGTCCTAATATGCAAGACAGGTGAAGACTTGAGTCGTTATAATTAGCTTTGAGACTATGAATGCAAAGTCATGAAAAGTGACTCATATGTTCCAAAAGGGGAAAAAAAAACAAAAAAACACCTTTTCTTTCTTACACTGTAGTTGAAGAAAAGAACAGAGGACAGAAAAGACCCAAAAGAGAAACCGGTCCCAAAAGAAAAGCTGCTGAGTCGAGTTTGCAGTGGGTCTAATGTATGTACTGTTTGGACTGAATACACGCAAAAGGCCTTTAGTTGGGCAACAAGTTCCAAAATATGAAAAATTTAGCCCCTGAAACTAAAAACACTTCATGGCCTTAGTGAAGAAAGTGCAGTTAACATATTAGAAGGGAAAGGAAAAAGGGTTACACATGTGAATGTGTGGAGTGGGTGTAAATGGCAGTGGGTTATTCTTCTTAAGGCCAGCTTGTGTTGTGCAGGCGCAAAAAGAGCAGAGAGCTTTTTTGCCTCATGATCCATTCACAATATTTTCCTTTAAGTGTCAAAAGTAGACTAGACTAGAATGGCAAACTTGGATGACCCAAATTCTCGGAACACAATTGCTTATTATTACAGTATGGTTTATACATACAGTCATATGCAAAATTTTGAATATCCCTGGTAAAATGTTTTGTCCTGAGTTTAACATACTGGAAAAAAATAAAACACAAAATATAAAATGTGCTATAACTTTTGCACATTTTATATTTTTTCCCACAATATGTTAAATTTAGAACAAACAGTAATTGTGCATTAAAATGTGCAGACATGTCAATGTAAATCTCATTTGACTGGGGGTGCCCAAACTTTGGCATACAACTGTGTAGCGTATTGGTAAACAAAAGGCAGAAACGGAAACTGAGTTGAAAATCAATTTATTTAATAGTTACAAGCTTTAAATATTATAAATAAAAAAAAAAAACATTGTCTCTTGCTGTGAAATATACAAGCTTTCAGGGGCATTATAAATAGTGCTAAAATTTACAAAACATTCATTACTCATTCTTAGAGGACGTTTGAGAAACTGTGCAAAACTAAGATCTTCCGTTAAGTGGCGACCTCAGAACAAGGCAGAGGTGTGGAGTGGGATTTGGATAGTAAAGCAGCTTCTGCAAGAAAGCGACATAAGGACATACACAGAGGAAGAAGAGTGGGAAAGTTTGGGGGTTACGCCACATGAAATAAGAACAGCAAGAAAAGCAGACCATAGAGGCATTCAGTGGTTTCACAAGCAAGCCTAGATGCTGGAGAGCACTAGTGCTTGGCACTTCTGTTAGTGAGTTAGCTTTGGGGATGAGCTGATACATTTGTGCGTCTCAATCAGGCACAGTGACACGACAAAACGCTTTTAAAATGCGTACATACAGAAGACCCAACGCCACATTCTCAAAACAGGTGGTTAATATGTGGTTATAAGAAGCAGAAGAGGCAGCAAAACAAGTGCAAAGCAGAATACAACACCCTGATCACCTGACTCATGCAGGCCAATCATCTTCCTGATGCCACCATTCTGTCAGTCAGGGGTTGGAGCATTGGAAACTTGAAACAGACCAATGTATGAGGCGGAAAAGAATGAAGAAATGAAGAATGAAGAGAAATTGAGGAAGGGATTTTAGTTGGAGACTCATGTCTATATAGCACTTAGAAATACATACGAAGGAAAGTCTATGATTACATTCAGTAAAGTACAGTGCTTGCAAATGCCATAGAAAACGTGTAATACTGGTAAAATTCTTAAAAACCGACAGCTTTTAAATCTTCCTCTGTCGTTGTCAGTCGTTGTAAAGCATTTAAAAAGACAAAAGCAATACTGTTTGGCATTTCCATTGCACACAACACGGCGAGGAAAAACGCAAGTCAAAGCCTGAAAAATAGCAGGGTTTTCAGTCCAAAGCTGACCATGCAATTCAGCTTTGGTCATCCCAGCCCCTAGCAATAAAGTGCTTTTAATCGATTGGTTTTTGGTCAATTCATTTTCAGACACAGTTACATATCAATACATAAAGGCAGAGTTCTTAAACCCTGTAGAACAATGTTTCCCCAGTCCTGGCCCTGCTCTGTATATTTTAGTCTCATAACGGGAACGTCTTGGGACAACCATGAGAAATATTGGGCTAAATGAAGGTTGGGATGTAGACTTAAAGTCGGAACAAACTGAAAGTAAAATTAAACCAATCTGACGCCTCGTGAAGGCGGAGCTCAAAGAAGGGGGCAAAGTTGTGCTCATCAACATCTGGACAATGGACAACAATCCCACCGTTAACCCATGGATGTAATGTAAGTTAGCATGACTGAAAAGTCCCCTAAAGACTCTAAGCCCGTAGACGCGTCTTGCAGGAGAAAACATTTAAATTAGCCAATGACAGCGTGTTGCTTCGCTTGTGTTACTACCTGTACTCTGGACATTAAAAGAGCATGGATGCTAAGAATTTGGGGGTGGGTTTTAGAGTACTTTGCTATCTAGTACCACATGTTGAACAAGTTGTCCCTAGATGTGTATTCTCGCTACGAGATCATGCCTGGCCCCACAAGGCCAGTACTTTCCCCTCACTCAACAAATGAGCTCACTAACAAGAACTTAATGGGATTTAAATGGGTACTAGAGCTGGAAAAACCCAAAATGTGCAGCCAATGTGGTACTGAAGAACCAAAACTGGGGAAAAAAAGGAAAATGCTGCTCTAGTTGATTAAAATTTATGACAAATCAAGAACAGAATCCAACTTAGATCTTTCAAAAGGTTAATACAATCAAATTTGGAGTATAATTTAGAATTTGCCACCAAATCATTAAAAACACAAGTACCTTCTTTACAAGTGTAGCCTTAAGCAACAGCAGTTGCTGATTAATAAGTAGATTTCCAGCCAAGACTACAGGGTTAAAGATGACCCCAAGTCAACCTCTAAACACCTCATGGATACAGAGGGCAGTAGACAGCCTCTAAAGACTAGTCTCTCCCAGAGGCCTAGCTAGTGCCAAGCTAACTTTATGCTATGCTAATATCTGAGTGCTTCCCTCAAGGCCAATTTGCCATGCCATCTCCTGCAGCATAAAGAGCAGAGGAACTCCCAGGCTCAGAAGCTCATAAAAGAAGGCATAGTCCTCCTGCCGCTCTCTGAGGTGTACCCCTACAGCCTGGGCCGCCCCATGCATCCGGCGGGCTAGCCAGCGGGGCGTACCAGTCAGACTGCGGCCCACGTGCAGTGGCCACTGCAGGCTTTTCCTAAGGAGGGAACTCAGGGTACCTGAAGGCTGGCTGCGGAGGCTGCCAGTGGCTGAGTAACCATCACTACCATCCACTGAAGACACGCTGCCTCCATGGTTCTGCAATGAGGAGGTAAGAAGAGAAGATACAAAATAACCATGAAACACCTGAAAGGCCATGACATGTTCTAGCTGTGGGAACTGTGGAGTTGTGTGTGTGTGTGTGTGTGTGTGTTTGTTCTGTGTTATGTATCGTTGATTATGTATTTTGTTATTTTCTGATTGTAAAGCGTCCTTGAGCATGGGAAAGGTGATATATAAATAAAAGTGATGACTATGACGATCGACATTTGTTGAGTGCAAGCACTGGATATTACCTCTTTCTTTCTATGCCTGTGGCTGGCTTTTCGCTGTGAAAAGTGAAGCTTGCAGTAAAACTTGCCTGAAAAAAAGAAAACAAAAACGACACATATGCACTTTATTATAAAGGAAAATATAACCATGACACACTCAGTGCTGTTTTCAGACAAAACACTTCAAATGATCAAAATGCAGACCTGAGGCTCTGAAAGAAAAAGGCCAATCAAGAGAAATGGGTCAAAAACATTTGTTTAACAGGTTCTACACTGTTAGAAATAAAGGTTCTGTGCAGGTATATCCTTCAAAAGGTACAACAGTGGCTTTAAGGTCCAATTGTGAACCTTAAATAAGTTTTTCCAGGTGAAAAGTACATAGTTGTACCTTTTCATAATCTAATATTTTAAAACAGAACAATAAAATAAAAAGCCTGGAGTCGAGACGGGGTGTGTGGAGTCAGTACAGCTTAGAAAATTTCATTTCAATGGATTATGGTACAATTATGTTCCCTAACTAAAAAGGTACTGAGATGCACCCTTGAGGGTACCACCCCAGTGACAAGAGGGGTACTGCGTCAGCGACAGTTTAGTACCTTTATTTCTGAGAGTGTATAGCAATTTACAAGATACAGCCAGTAGACAACAAAAATACATTTGAACTTCATTTACTGACAACCTTAATGCAGTCTTAAATTAATTAGTTTTGTTCATTTTTTTGCTGATGAGGCTATGGGGTACAATGATGTGCTACAGAACCCCACATAAACACAACAAATAACATATTCAACTCGAATTTTTAGTTGAAAAGTACCTTTATATTAAGAATGCAAGTGAGCATAGAGCTTTACCATGCTTTTTACCAGCATGTATAACCCCAGTGAGGGCTGCTGACATTAGAAAGAGTAATTAATATGAGTCAACTCATTAGCAAGAGCAGCAACAAATTAGAGGTGAACACAGATTGCAAGTGAAGGTGATTTACTCTGGTCACAGTCGAACACATGTCCTCCCAGTCTCAAGGTTGTGTTGCAGACATCACAGCGGAAACACTCCCGGTGGAAGAAGTAGCCCTCTGCACTCAGTCGCTCCATCACGTACACACGCTTCTTACAGAAGTGACAGATGTCACTGCCGCCCACGCCCGGAGCAAATTCCCTCCGTACGTTAGCCTGCCGTGAACACACAAACAGAGCACTGAGAGCAGGAACGGAGTTAAACCAGGCTGGAGGCTGAAGGCAAGAGGGCTTTTTTGCTTGCAGAGATTAAGCTGGAAATAGTATTGCAATTAGTATGGTCCCCCATTTGCAAATCAAACTGACTCAAAAATAAGTTGGAGGTGTCAGCCTAACATGACGTGACGTGCAGAGTGTGAACAATGAAAGCAAGTCAAACCCAGATCTGTACACTGAGAGTACATTCTGCACCACATCTACTTCACTGCTTAGCAAAACTGAGAAGACTGTTAAGAACAATTTCTCAAGCTGTACATTGTGAGATGTTAGCCCATATTAATGAAAGAGCAGGCAGTGTTTCCACAGGCCAAATCAAGGCAAAAAACCCAAACAAGTGTTCCCTGCAGAGGATTACAGTAAGTCCTCACTTGACTTGGACTTGAAGAATGTTGTTAAGACAATAAGCTATTTAAGTTGCCAGACCAAAAACCAACACAACTCTGTTATGCAGACTGCATTACTGTCATGGCCTTCACTGTTTCTATTCCATGTCTTTACTTTTTCCTGGTTCGACTGCATGTCTTCCTTTTTCTGGTTCTGTCTTGCTTTGGAGTTGCAACCAGGTGCTGCTGATTTCCACAATGCTGGCTTGTGCAGAGACCTGAGGATAAAAGCTCTGTCTGCAGTGAGCCCTGGAACTCCCCATCTTCTAGCTCCTTGCTCTTTAATAACTTTTAAAAATAAATGTAACATCTTTGCTTAATGTTGTGTTGTCTCCCTTTCATGTTGCCCCACTGTGAGCCAGGCGAGTGTAGCAGTTACACAACTAAAACCAGATTATGGAAAAACAGCCAGAACAGTAATTAGTCTTTGTTTTAACTAAACACTGAGACATGCAAAGTAGCCATTACAAGCAGTTGACAACTCCTTTATATTGTTGCATTAGCCAGCTAATTCAGCACTTTTACCGATCCAGCATCTTGGGACCTTCTGGCTTCTGTCTGTGGACAAAAACATAAATGACTTCACTGCAGCTGCATTACAATACAATCCCCGCTATACCCCAACTCTCCTGTTAGTGGGGAAATTAACATGTGGAACAAGCAAATACATCTATATTAATAGCCACTGGTTCTTCCTACATATCAAGACAACCTGATAAGTCTGCGGTGGGCGAAACAAATCACAGAGCAAGCAAATAAATAAGTATTTAAAGGGGAGAGGGGAAAAACCCCAAGCAAAGCAAACAAAACAAAAAACAAAAAAACCCACAAACATCTCATGATGTTGCTTCAGGAGTAAATATTTAGAAGTGACTTAAAAATCAAATGATTAAAAGAAGTTAAATACAATTAAACTATTGAAATATGGCCTAAAGACCTTTGTGAACTGGGGTGAGAGACTAACAAAGCTTTGTTTTTGCCCTGAATGCAGCTGGGGTCTTTTGTGGGCTGCTTACCAGTGAGAGGACGACTGGGTTGTTGGGTCTGTGATCGGTTTCGTAAAGGATGGCCAGAGTGGCAGCTTTAACACCTATAGCAGAGGAAACCTTTCCAACTGTCCTCTAAACCAGCACAGGGAGATGGATGGAAAAGGAAGAAAGAAAAAGAATGGAAGACAGGAATGTGGGGAGTAGACAGGAATGGACAATAAGAAACGAACAGACAGACAAAAAGGGTACAGTGGACAATAAGAAAGCATGGAATCGGGTACAGATGACGGGCCAAAGACAGGTGCCAAAAAGGGTTTTTTGGAGTGATGCCATAGAAGAACCACTTTTAGTTCCATAAAGAACCTTTCAATGCATGATTCTTTTTAAAAAAAAAAAAAAAAAACAAACAAACGAAAAAAAAACAAAAAAAAACAACTGAAATTACTGTTTCTTTCTTCTACGGCGCCAACTTAAACACTTATAATTCTTTATTTTGAAAAATGCAGTTGATAGCAAGAAGGATGGGGATTGACACAGACACAAGGGAGAAAAAAGGGGGAAAAAGCCATGCTTTAAACACAAAAACTCAGCCAGTTCTTCAGCATTTCTCTTTCTAAAGCACCTATAAAGCATGAAACTTGTTTTAAACCAAGTTTCGGTACTTTGGTAGTCATACAGCTGGTAGAGAAAAACCGTGTGGATGGTGGTGAGACTGCTAACCCTTTTGGAATCACTATTGTGATATTGGCCTGCAATAGTATAGGCCAATATATATACTAATATACCAATATATATACAATAATATACTGCAATAGGCTAGCAATATTGCTTATACACAGCAATACTGTTATTGCATAGAGCTCTAACATGCTAATATACCATCCAAGCAAAGTATTTATCATGAGGTGCTCATATTTTGAAACACAATTCCAAATTACACAGCATTTCTGTTCAAACAAATTCAAATAAATAATCTAACAAAAGTATTTTTGGTCAAAGTAATCCAGGCCATTATTGATTCATCAGTACATTCTTAATACACTGCATGGTGTATCAACATTGCAAAATGTAGCAACATAACAGTATAGCACAGTATGCAATATTAGTATTTGGTTCAGATCATGCAGCCACTGGTCAATCCAGGAGGCATGTTGCTGACCACTGTGCTAAACTTTGCACAACAGCCAAACCAACAACATATCAGTAAGTACTGGTGTCAATAGCTATAAACAGCTTGAGCATGTCACAAAAGTGTTAAGTGTTTCTCTGACTCAAAGTTCCTTTACTCCTTAAAAATAAACAATCATGCATGTCCTAAAAAGGAGTGGCATGCCTGTAAAAACATCTGGTGTCGAGAAAGTAGGACAGAAAATTAAGTTCCCATGGAACTATGGGACAGTCTAGGGACAGTCCGCACTGTAAGGTCAGTTGACAAAGATAAGGAGTGATTTTAGAAAACATAAGAGCAAGAAAAAGTGAATAAAAGCCACTTTAAAATAGCTAAATGTGTGTCTTACATGCAAGACAAATTATCTATTTTTTTGTACACATGCTATGTTAACCATGCATAGTCATGCCAAATCACTGATATTAAAATATTAATTCAAATATTACTACAAATATTAAATACCTGTTTGGAAGGATCAAGGCATTCTATGCGTTTGATTTCAGATCGATCTGTATGCCTTTGGTGATCATTCTGCTGGGACTCAGAATGTCCGTTACACTATAATTAACAGGAAGAGAACCTGTGATTTATATGGTTTATTTCCACTAACTAAAGACTGCCATCAGCGTTCCAGCAACAAATTTGAGGAACAAACCGCAGTCCCTCTGGACATAAACCAGAGAGCTTTATTTGGCCACATACACACCCAGTTAAGCACCGGCGCACTCCTGTAATCATCACCATCACAATAATTACATCAAGCTCCATTTCACAGTGAGGGCCATACATGGGCCAGTGGGTTTTCAACGGCTGTGGCTTGGGAGGCTGTCAGCAGCACAGGGAGGACTGACCAAATCTACACCCGATTCAAAGAGACTATTCAGATAGTGAACTGAAAGCCCTGCTTTAAAGTGATAGTGTACATTTGAATTTTCACCAAACTATTTGTCCATTTATTTATTTTATTCTGGCCGATTCCTCCTCCTAGCTAGTTCTCCCCTGCCACACCATGCTACTAAGCAGGGAGGGTGAAAGGCTCACACGTGCTTCCTCAGAGACACATGAAGTGCCAAAACATGTTTTCAAACTGCCGCAGACACAATGTCACTGTACAGTTCAAGATGCTTACAGGAGAATGCAGCTAACGAGTAATGGAAACTTTCTCCACAGATTAATATCATACAAACTGCACGCCTAAATAATCAAATCTCAATAATCCCATATCCTACATTTTCTCCCTGAGGTCCACCTATGATCTTTTTGCAGCTTTATATACCTGAAAAACAGATATAATTCATGTTTACATGTTCACAGGCTGTTTTTCTCACTGTGCCTTTAAGACTCATATGTAAATGACCTCTGTTCTGATTATCTGGCTTGTGTTGTACCTTAATTAAAAAGTAGTCCAGATTAAACACTAACTTCAGTGTGAATGGGCATGGCTAAACTGCAGTAGACTTATTAGGTAGATATATGTTAATGAGTTGGCTTTTGTGATTTCGTAAAAACAACAAATTCGAAACAGGCTCTTTAAATTCAGCTTAGTTTCCAATTATGGAAAGTATGGACTGGAAAAAAAATTGAGGAAAATTCAGTTTTTCATGATATGGACCTCTTAATCAATCACAAAAATACTTGCTTATGTGGTTTTTGACACTGAGTAACTCACTGTTATCTATTAAAGAACAAAGGTAAATTACACAGCTAAAAACAGTAACAAGAAACACTTTAAAGGGCTGAATTTTGTTCCCACTTTTTTTTCTTGCAGCTGTAGTGCAAAACTAAAAAAAGCAAAGTTCAGACACCAAATGTCTCAGTCGATCTGACTGCATTTGGGGTATGGAGAAAAGCTGTGAGAATTGATTTTTTTTGTCAAGTTGTCACTAAGCTAATAGATCTACTAATGAACTGGAAAATCTATTTATGACTTAAAACAGCATTTAAAACAGAGTGGAACACCATCACGGTGGATTACCCCATTATGAATAACCCATATATAACAGAGGTTGGGAAGAAGAGTGAACTGAGAGGCTGCTAAAGTTACCTGTTTTTGCGGAGGTGGGGGAGGAGGAGAAAGCAGACAAGAAAGAGCAGAGCACGCAGGGAGAGATTGGACCGATAGAGGTTTAGAAGGTGGAGAAACAGGAGCAGGAGAGGGTCCATCTACCTATGAAGGAAGGTAAAGTAGAATAATGAGATAAAAGTAAGAAACAGAAAAAGAGAGGGAAAAACTACAGCATGCTGTTGTAAGTGAACTCCACTGTGATCAGGTATCCATGCTGAAACTGGGACGCAGTGAGCTCTACCAGTACAGTATGTCAACACAAACCTCACCACTGCACAAACTCACTCTTTGGACACAATGATGAAATTCAGGTTGCAGCAATCAAATTAAACTTGTTAGGAAAACTACTAAACCCACAACTTGTTGATCTGAAAGGACGATTTAAACAAAAGACACAAAAAGTGACAGTGCATTCACCAAACACCAATTACGTTTCTATCAAGTAAAGAAAGCTGGTTCACACTAGAAACCAAAACAAAGTGACGATGTTAGTCATCAATCTGACTCGATGTATATCAAAGCAGGCTGGACAGTCCACCACGTTCTGCGATTAGGGATGCAGCAGCTCAGGCAGGATTATACCACTGTTTGATTAAATGATGCTCTAATGTAGCCAGTTCCTGACCATCACCTGAGGTTGCCTGCCAGAGAAGAGGAAGCTCAACTGCTCCGCTCTCTCCCTTATACTCTTTCTGCTGAACTCACGAGCACTTCGAGTCTGTGCTTTCTTCTGCAGGCCAAGAAAACAGCAAAGGGAAGGAAAGAAAGTGTCAAAGTAGGAAAAAGGACAGGCGCAGTTCGCCAACAGCTTTCAGCAATAACACCTTGTGAAGTCTAGATTCAAAAACATGCAATCTTGCACCACACGGAGCTACTGAAGTGGAGGTTTTTGTATTTTTGTTTTTAACCAATTCATTATATTACAGATCTATAAAGCAACCCAAGCTAGAGTAGTTGAGGGGTTAAACCCCTAATGCGAGAGTGAAAAAGCCTGCTTTGTTGGCTTCTACTCTTGAATGTGGAGCACAACGTTTAGCCAGCTAAAGCATGCCTTTATAATTAGCTATAGTGGTAGGTAAATGGCACATATTTGACATCATTATCTACTCTAACGTCTGTTGATAAATGTCACTTACAGTGAAAATCTGAGCAAAATTAGACTATTATTATAAATAGTCACTTTAAAAAGAACTGTTATTCCTGCATAGTGCTTAGTTAACGTCTCATTCTCATGTTAATATTAGGGTACATGTGGCTACTGTTATGCGACTTGCATTATGTTGTGCTACAAGCAATAAAAGCGGCCATGTCTGCTGTGATGGGCCAAGTGTGCCACCTTCATCATCATGCAATTCACCTGACTGATCTGGTCTTCTAGCTGCTGCAGGCGCAGGAACATCCCTCCCAGAGCAGGTGCAGAGGAACGGAGGGGTTCTAGAGACCTACAGGCCAGTGAGGGCTCTTTGGGCTCGGGGAGATGGTTCAAAGACACCAACTGGGCAGCAAGGGTCGAATGGAATGAAGAACTGGGCCGAGGTTCAGGAGTTAGACAACTCGAGCGGGGTTCAGAGGTTTGAGGGCAGGACCAAGGCTCTGTGGTATGGTAACTGAACTGTGGTTCTTGATAAACAGCATGACTGTCTATGTGGGCATATGATGACTGGACTTGACTGTATTGGTGAGAATGCTGGTTTTCTAGATTTCCATGTTTGTAGCCAGGCTGCAGTTGAGACTCAAGGAGTCTCAAGTAAGGGGATGGCTGGAAATGGGCACACACAGTGACACAGTCTGCATATACAGCATAAAGACTTGCTTCAAAAACAGTTTCACAAGAAGAAGAGAATTATTAGATATATGGTTACTCCTTTACTCGCTTGCCACCAAATGTAAACAGTAGGTACTTCTGATAAAATGGCCGTTGGCTTTAGATACAAAGTAGGTGTACTAATAAACTGGTAACTATGTATATGTATATAGTGTTGATGGCATTTCTGTGTTAAGTAAAGGTTTGGCGAATAATTCAATTTACACACTTTTCCACTTACTCCAGATGCAGTCAATCAGCAAGACATGTTAGTGTTGTTTTGGGTCTTTGATTTAGTTGTGGAGTTACAAGTCACCCAAACCTCAACTTGCTCAAACCACATCCAGGTCTTCATTAAAGTTGCGTAGACTTGTCGATGTGGTTTAGGACACAGCAGTTTAGGAAACTTCACCGTGTAGATGAACGCTGCAGTCAGCCATATTAGACAACAGGTGTTTTCTGAATTCCGAATAATCTGCAGAATCAGGCTTCCCTTTGCGTGCATGCACATGGACACACACGTATGCATGTGTGTGTGTGTGTCTATATATATACAAAATAAAACAACAGTCGCAAATGTGATCTGTAGCATCCATATGCCTCCATGATGTTCAAGTACATAAAGATGAGCAAGAATTCAGTTGTTTGAAGTGGCTGCTTCAGTGGCTGTGGATAGTTCAAAATAGGTCATACTGTGGCCTAAACCTGTAAACTGTAATGAAAACCTGGTTGTGGTTTAAGCAGGCTGAGAACAGTTCTGCAGATGCATTTATGGGTAAGATTTAGATATTGATTATTGACTTCTAATGTTTGCTAGCAAGGTTAGTCTTCCAGCTCCTGCACTAAAATAAAAAAAGCAACATTTGGATACCAAACGTCTTGGCTGATCAACTAAGTTTGGGATAAGTGAGGAATTGTGTAAATCTTTTTTTTAATTTTTCGCAGAACCGTTTTTGTAACCCTAATTCAGTCCGTACCAAAGGTTAAGCCTACCTGCCATTTTGGTTTGGATGGGGGAGGAGGGGACTGGGTCACGTGTTTGGGTTTAGCAAAGCGAGGATTTTCAGCCATATCCAGAGAACTGGGTTTTTCCACAGAGGAGTCAGACTCAGGCTCTGACTGATTTACAGAACCACAAGACTGAACAAAAACAAAGATTAAGAAATGAAATGAGAGGTGAGGAAGCCAAATGGAAACAAACATAAAATGCAGTAAATCCTGGAGAACCAAAGTGCTTCGCAGTGTAGTGTACAGGCCTATTACTTCCTATAATATAACAGATTCAGCTAAAGAAGGGTTCGATAACTCAGTTCAAGTGTGAGTTTGAACAGGGAACACTTAACTGCGAACACTGCAATACACTTTATATGAAGACTGAAACTAAAAAAGTAATATGAAAATCCCATGCAGAACTTGCAATTCCCAAGGTGTTAGATACTACCACTCCATGAGCGATTAGCCCCTTACACAGAGCCCCCTCTGCTTACTGTTCAGAGGTCATAAGCAGTTCATAAAGTGCATTATAGTGCTGTGTATGACCTAAATCCTATAATCCCCTCACAGGGAGGTCAGACAACCTCTTATGACCGCAGCTAATCTCAGGCCACAAGATACTGTGAAAAATATTGTTTGACTGGGTTGGAGATTAATGGGAACCAAGAACCACATTGTAACTTAACATTCAAAACAAAAGGTTACAGCAACCTCCTTTATTCATAAGTTACCCGTTGCAAGACTCAATAGTTCAAGTGCTCTAAAACAAAAATAGATCACTAAACAGGTTTGAAATGCCACACATTTTCATCACGACAGAGAATGCATGTGCACTCAAAGGGGGTGCTTGAGCCTCTGCAATATACAGGTCACCTCTTGGTTAGCATGTATAATAGTGTTTATATGAAGTGCTGAAACTCAGTAGTAAGGGACACTAATAATTTTCTAAACGATGTCCTTTTCCTGTACTCCAATAGAGTTATAAGTCACTTATTCACAGCAATTAGATAGCATAGTCAGTTACAGACTTGGTCTGTAGGTTCAAATTGCTGTAGACAGGGTTCAAATCACTGCTCGGGCAGTAAAGCAAAGATCTGTTCACCTTGGAAAAACAACTCTAAGTTTGGTTTCCTCTGAAACATGACTACACTGTCTGTCTCCTAAAATGTCAATGCACAAGCCTGTAACGGAACATATGCAAAGCAACAGACAGCTCACAGTTGGCAATACTAGTAACATCAATGAAACAGAACACCGAGGTCTCATTCATCAATGCGTCTGAAGTCTTAGAGAAAATCTAAATCATGTCTAACCAGATGCTTTTTAAACCATCATCTCAGCAAATTATCACATCTACAGCATGAGCTGAATGCTTGAATCACATCAAAAATAAAAATAAATTTAAACATCTGAGCACTGAATCTTTTGAATTTGACCTTTCATCTAGCATACACTGAAATATGCACATCTAACTGTCCTCAGCAATGGTTTTGTGAGACTCTTTAGATACAGGTGAAAGAGATAGGACTGGTGGATTTGCTGGGCCTCAAGCGAGTCTCACAGACAGGCGTTCAAATAGGATTATAGTGACAGTTAAGAGGCCGAACTGGAGATGATTTCCTTGCTTGCTTGAGAACATCAGGACTGCTTATGCACATGAGAAACAAATGGCACTGGGCCACCAAGCACCTCAGTGGACCCTTCAACAGTAATCTAACCATTAAACACTTGGCTCTGCATTGTTTTTACACTCAAAGATCATCTATGTCAAAATGCTCAATGCACATAAGAAAATATTCAGTTATTGGTTAGACTGTTTGCATTTTGCAGCTTCTGCAATACGCAGGACAATATCATGGTACTGATTAAACATCATGTTATGCTAATAGTTTTTTTTACCACTAACTGGTGAGAACTCCTCAAAGATTTGGTTCAAGAAGCTGTAATCACTGCTTGTCTTTAGTGCTCTACCACAACATGAGTGAAGCAGTGAAGCAATTTAGCACCGCTGGAAGAGCGTACTACATAATCACTGCAGTTACTGCCAATGTATTAACAAAAGAAGTACATAAGAACTAGGAGTGGCCAGTATGGCGATATTTATCTTCATGATAAATTCCTTCACATTAACACTAGGCGAAAAGTGTCATCGGTACTTATAGAACACTTCACAAATGCATGTTTCATTATAAAGGGAGTTAATGAGTCATATTTAGTTAGACTTAGGCAGCACAGTATGCAAAATGCTAAACAAAAAAAATTGCTGTACTTAGTTTTTTACCAGTATTTTTTGAAACATGCTTTTTTGTCCATTACAACTCAAACATCAAATAACAAAACATACATGAATAAATAAAACAATGATACATATTCTGCATCTTGAAAATATCTCAGAAGTATTATGATATCATATTTTTGCCATATCACCCTCCTCCGATAAGAACAGATTTAGGAACAGCTAAGCACCGGCTCAGAAAAGTCTAAGAACTGACTTAGGACTCAAAAACTGTTACCTGTCGACGCAAGGCACAGCTAGGTGCATTCTCCTCAAACTTGGCCAAAAGCTGGGTCGCCATGGAGCGCACCTTATTCTCCTTCTGTTCCAGGCCTTCCCCTGTAGTTAAGGCACCCTGACCGGACAGCTTCAATAGAGATGGAAAAAGCAGTTATCAGCATGTAGATTAGAGGCAACAGACAGCACACCTGATGTCTAAAAGAGAGGTTCTGCTTAAAACGCACCTCTTCTGGGTAGTTGCTGCCTTTTCTTCTTTTCTTGTTCGGGTCATTGTCTTCTAACTTCTTATCATCCTTTGAATGAGAAGTAACGATACACACGATAACGATACCTCATAATTATATGAGAAATATAATTTGATAACTTCTGATAAGGGTTAAAACAGAAATTGCTGGTTCATGTACTGTATTGCTCTACAAGTAATCACACACAAAAGGG